CCCAGCTCTTGGAGTTGTCCTCAGCTGTGCTTTTCCCATGACAAGCTCTTTATTTGCAGATCAGCTTTTGGTGATATCAGGGAATTCTCTCCATTTATTAGATGGCCTTAAAACTTGACAGCAATTTGTGGACTGTCCCTTGCGCTGGAGTAAGAAGCAGGAGGAGCTGATGGGAAAGCACCTGCATGGGAATTTTTCCCTGGATATTTGTAATGCCAAGTGACAGGCTGTTCCTTCCCTCCTTATTTCTCAGGCCTTGAGTGTTACTGTGGGAGGTTTGGCTGACCAGAACAGACTTGGATTTGAAATCTGCTCCTACAATAAGAGGGGACTTTAAAAAAGTACTGTTGTTTGTTTATTTTTTATAGTTTTAAGTGCTCCAAGTGTGTTACAAACTAAGAGCATACTTAGAGTGTGATGTAAATGTTAGCAGAGAGGAAGGCAAACATTGCACTCTGGTGCAGTTCAAATAATTGCCATCAGCTTTTTGACTTTTTTTAAGCTAAGCTGAAATCACCTTAAGTTTTAAACACAGGTTAGTTCGTGTGGTTTGTTTCAGCGTACAAAGCTTAAAAGTAGACAGATACTTTGTTTGTATGTCTATGCAAATTGTTTCTAAACTCTCCTGGGAGAGTGTTTGTAGACAGCTCTGACTTGGGTTAGATGCTCTGCAAAGTTCAGTGCTGCACTGAGTGGATCTTGTCTTTGAGAGCTTAGTTTGAAATCCTAAAGGGGGGATTTTTTAATCCCTAAGAAGGAAACTTTTCAGGGAAATCCTAAAAAAAAAAAGGTGCTGATTTTGTTTTTCCTTAATTTGATAGCCATTACAGTTTTTTTGAGAGCTCTGAATTCGAGGTGAGAGTTCAGACTGAACTGCTGAAAGCACTAATTGCTGTAATTAGTTCCTTCTACAAGTCTGCTAGGATAACTAGGACTTCAAGCTATGATTAAAGTGTGGCTATGTAAGGACAAATGATGGAGATCCTAAAATTTGCAGCAGGTTTGGAAAGTCCAGTGTTGGAAAAACATTGTGCTTTGCAATTTATATTAAACAAGAAGGTGAGCAACTGAGGTTACTTAATGTCACTAAAACTGAGCAAAATGGCTGTTCTGTCATTTGTTAGAATATGCAGTGAGGATTTTAATGGATTATTGCACATTGTGGTGGAAGCTTTATGAAAACGTGTTTGTCCATTTAAAGCAATTTATTTCAACAGTGGGTCTTTCTGAGTGATGTGCTTCACAGTTAACGTTCTATAAAATAATGGATTGGCAGGAAACAAAAAATAATTTATTTTAGGTCTGTTACTGAAGTCCCGTGGGATTCAAACAAATAATTTGATAGTTGGATAAGAAGGTAATAAAGCTTTGTTTACATTTCAGTGTCACTGGAAATGCAGAGCTGCACCAACACTGCCCACGTCATGTTGTCCAACAGCTCTGTTTGTTCACTGACTGGACTTTGCTGCCCAGCACAGACACTGTCATTTTGCAATTTGTGAATACTTTGGGAGCTGTGAAAGTTGTTAATAGGATTAGCTGGGTGGATAAGAAGTCAGGTTTGTGTTTTGAGGGGCAAAACTTCTTCCTGCTTGCTTGCACTTCCTTTCTGGGGAGAGTAGCCAAAAATAAGATTGGCTTTGCTGTCTGCAGGGACAACACTGTGTGGTTCTCCTGTACTAATCCTGGTGCTGCAAGGGAGCAGGGAGGAGCACACTGAGGAGGCTGGGTGTGATTTGTGGTGGGCCCAGAAGTGTTTCAGGGCTCAGACTTAACCAGTTTGCACGGCTTTTAGTGGAGCTGCCAGGTTCTCCTGTCTGGTTGAACCTTTCCCTGCGTGGATGTGGCTGTTTGTGGATTAACAGACTTTGCATCTTGTGCAATCCTTCATTGCCTCAGAGCCCGACTGGGGAGGGATCTTTGCCCTTTGCATTGCCAACAGTCCTTCACTGTGTTCCTTGCCAAGAAACACCTGAGCCTTTGGTTGTGTCCTTGCTGTGATCCTGACCAGCAGCACGTGGGGTTCTGCCCCTGCAGTGCCCCGGGATCACACGGTGGTCATTTCAGGGCAAGCGATTAAAAATAATGGGAGTGATATTAAGTAGTGGCTGGATCGAGCTGGCTCCTGTGAAGGTGAGAGAATCCAAAGAAATACTGCATTTACCTCATGATAATTCCCCCTCTGCAGCTGTGCTCAGCACTGGGTTGGTTGTATTTGGAGTTTTGCCAGCGGGCTGATGAAGCATCTTGCTGGGTTTTGTATGTTTTGACAGTGGGCTGATAAACCTGCACGTTTCTGCTGTTGCTTCCTAAGGAGGTTTTATCATGATCTAAATAGTGAGCTAATTTCAATTATGAAATGTTTTTGCAAGGCAAAGGGGGGAGAGTCTTCAGTGTAACGAAAAAAGCATCAAACCTTAAATTCAGTCTTTTCAGGCAGAGCAGTCTGGCACAGAACATCCCAGGACAGTTCATGGAGCTGTGTAGGTCATTCCCCTTTAGATGCACATCCTATGCTGGCAGATGTCAGAGCTCCCTGGGAAAGCACTGGCAAACACCTCTGACACTTCAGGTTGCTGTTTAGTGCCTTTCAATGAGCCTCGAGGCAACTCCCTTCAAGTGACACTTGTGTACAGCTCGTTTCCAAGCATAAAAGTCTTGCTATGGGGGAAATAGTTTTTAATAATGCATTTAAGAATTCGTTATGTTAATACAGGTACAGTGAAAGAGTCTGGTGAGAAACATAAGGGATCTGTTGAAATTCCTAACCTGTCAGAAGAAAATGAGGTAGATGATACAGAGGTAGGTGTGAAATACCGGTATGGCTGTATAGGTTCAGAATTCTTAAGTAAAGCATTAACCAACATACAGGCATCATATTTTGATTTATCCTGTCATTAAGTGGGATAATTACACGTGGATAGTTTATTTCATGTTTTTGTTGATTATACTTTGGAATAATGACTTCTCTCTGTTCTCAAATTTACCCGCGAGGAACGTGCACAATTTGCTTTGCTAATTATGGTCTGTGACAAATATATTAACTACAAATTTGAGAAGAACTCTGCTTGTAGTCTTAAAAAAAACCACCCCAAACCAACTCCACAAACCGCCCCCCAAGCCCTAAGAACTTAAGGAATCTCCATGTTGGTTGTATAGCAGTTGGTGCTGTGGCTTCCACAGATTCCTCAGCAACTCTTGTCTATCCTTGATGAACTAAGTGGAGATACTACATTAATTTAAGTCAAAACCCAAGAGGACCTATTTTTAGCAAAGGTCAGCTGCTCTGAGAAGATAATGAACTGAAATTGCAGCTGTCCTCTGAGCACAGTAAACAAAGCCCAAATGCTTGCCTTTGTTGCCAGAACCCAAAAGGCTCCTGATCAAGTGTCTCTTAGATGTGTCATTTTTCTGTTTCTAGATAAATGTCAGCAAGAAGAAAGGGGAAGGTGACGTTCTGAAGGACCTGATGAGAACTGAAGGAACCACAAAAGTCAGAGAGGCCCTGAGAGATTACCTGAAAGCACTTAAAACAGGTAAATTCAACAGCATGTTTTGTTTCTGTGTGGGCATCTCTCCAGAACAGGTTGGTCATACATTGACAAGTCCTTGGGTTTGTATTGTTTTTATTTTTAATCTGTTCCTAATGAAAATACGTGGGGAAACTGGATTGGAGTTTTATGTCCTATTCAGTGCCCCTGCACAGTTCTACCCCTTCTCCACAGTTTTGGTGATCTTTACTGTGTACCTGAGTGTCAGGGTGATGGTACAGCTGAATTTCACACTGAAAAGTGCTTTCCTTCCTTCCAGAGTTTACCTTGGGAATGATTCTGCCAACAAAAGCCCCTGTTGGTCAGGAGCTGCCCACGGAGCGAAAACCAAGTGGGAACACCGTGCAAGTATGTTGGCTTTAGCTTTTTTTCCCCACTGAATTTAGTGACTCCCAATTAATACTACTATTAAATAAATACAGAAATACATTGTATAATTGCCATGTTTTCACAGCAATGTGTGTTTGAGAATGTGCAGGTAACAACAGTCCTGCCATGTCAGAACTTCTAAGATCTTGGACTTACTCACGCGACTGTTTTCTGCTTTTCAGGACTCTGTTTCACCACAGTCTCTGGATACAGTTGGAGTAAAAATTCCAACAGTGAGGATACTTATGAGGGAAATGTTCAACTCTCCAGCTGATGAACTTTACAGCATCTTCACCACAAAGGAAGTAAGTGATATTTTCAGAAGGCATTGTAACAATGTGGATGTTGATCCAGCTGAATAGTTGTGTAAGTAAGGAATGTGTCACAGTGTCAAGTACAGATTCCACTTTTACCTTTTTAATAACAGCTGAATAGGTTGCCTGAGACCTTTTTTTCCCCACTTGTTACCTTAACAGGAAGAAAAGCCAACTAAACAAAGAGAAGCTGCATCTTTCTGTAGTTTTTGTGCAACTCAGTCTCAATCTCCTTTGCTGCTTAGGAAAAGCTTTGCTGTTTGATGTTCAGGAGCCTGAAGGGCTCAGTAATGGCACTGCCATTATCCACAGCCTGCAGGTTAATTAGATTAATTACTGGAGGTGTGAAATACAAATTCACTAATTTGGGGTTTGTGTCCTTCATAAGGGCCTGTGTTGGAGAACTTTAAATGACAATCCCAGCGCTTCCCTCGGGAAACAAGAGCTGTTGCTCCATTTCCCTCATTTCCCAACGTAGGAACAGCCAGTTCTGTCTGTGCCTGTGTATGTGCTGTGGCCATACCCCCTGCATGTGACCAGTCTGTCCTGCTCTCTGTTTACCCTGCAGGTTTCTCAGTGTTTATATTCTCATCCTGTCACCTCACTGGACCTCACTGCAGTGCTCTATAAAATCAAAAGCCTGATGAGTGTTTAAAGACTCTTACATATATCACAGTTAGTTTTAATTTCTTCAGCCAATCTCTCTTCTCTGCTAGTATTTTTATGGGTGTGTTCTTTTTTGTTAGTTAGTACAGAAGTTTTCCAAGTGCCCAGCTGTGATTGAAGCAGAGAAAGGAGGCAAACTCCAGATGTTTGAGGGCTGTGTCAGCGGGGAATACACAGAACTGGTAAGAAACTCCTCCTCTGCACTTCAAATATGGGGGGAAAGGGTGTTACTTCATTTTCTGAAACAAAAAGTAGTGTAAATTTGTGACCTTTCAGCTTCCTTAATGCCTGTTTCAGTTCCTGTATTTCAAAGCCAAACAGGTGCTCGTTTGTTGTTTGGTTTTTCTTCCCCCTGAGAAGAGCAGGCACTGCCCACACCTAATGACCTGCACTGGGGTGGGGGGAAGAAGCACAGTCCTGTTTAACCAGGAGTGACAAAGCAGGTTTAAGGTGTACCTCTTGTATTCATTCCTCTTTTAACTGGAGAACTGATTTTTGTTCAGCTCAGGGCAAACCGTTACCCGCTGTGGAAGCAGAGGGAAGTCAGTTCTGTTCATCAGCCTTTGCTGATAAGGATCTATTAGATCAGGATCTGTTTAAATGAAAAGTCAGAGTACAGACTCTCCCCTGAGCTGGTGTTTGTGCCAGCAGTGCCTCATTCAGGCAGGCTGGGCTGGGTGACAGTGACAACACTTACATGTTGCAGCAGGGCAGACACGGCTCGTGCTGGTGCCCGTTTCAAGGTCTGCCAGAAAATCAATGGTGTCTGTGCAGTAACTAATGAGCCCTGACCTTTTCCCACAGCCAGAACACAACATGCAATGCAGCAAGCTGAGAGCTCCAGGAAAACAGTTTATTTCAAAAATCAAACCCTAGTCTTTGTCTTGGTTACGTGCATGTGTCTCCTTGGTTTTCAGGGGGAATAACCTCCGATGCTAACTGGAGAACATCCTTCTCTTCCTCCAGGTCCCAAGCCAAAGAATTGTCCTGAAGTGGCGGTGTAGGAGTTGGCCTGATGGTGAGTCTTTGTGAGGAATTCTGATATTAGAGGCCTCCTTTGCAGGGAGAAGGACCAGCCCTGGCAGGGACAGCGTTCCTGGCCGGATTCTCCCTCGGTCCGTGTTCTTGGACAGCAGCCTGGTGTCCAGAGGTGAAAAGACAGACACAGGAAAGCAGCAGCAACAACTGCAATTCCTTAAAAAACACAAGGCTGAAATGTGCTATTTTCTTCCCCCAGAACATTATGCAACAGTTGCCTTGACCTTCCAGGACGCGGCGGCTCAGACGGAGCTGCAGCTGGAATGCACAGGAGTTCCCGTCGCCGCCGAGGAGAGCACCAGGCAGTGCTGGAAGAAGCAATATTTTGAAGAAATCCATCTTTTACTGCAGCAGCCCCAAGACAGCATGGAATGATGACAGCACTGTAGTTTTGTTAGGGCATTACTTTTTATACTTTGTTAACAATTTGGTTTTCTAAAAAAAAAAAAAAAAAAAAAAAAAAAAAAAGAAAAGGAAAAAAATAGTAATTTATTTGTGGGAAGAATAAAGACCCACTTCTATGATACTGTATATAATTTAAACATTATTTATGGATTTTCAGTGACTGAGGAGCAAGGCAGATTATGGATATAGACAGCTTTTCTTGGGGAGACTGACCTCTGCTCTGCTTGTCTGCAGCCTCAGAGATAATAATGACTGAGCTGCAGTCAGGACTGTGGTAGGACTCACACTTCCAGCAGAGGTAGGTGAGCTACACCAATCCACAGGAAGCATTTCCAGTTCCTAAATATTCAGTGAATTGAGTGGCAAAATTCCTGCAGGAGATGGTTCCCAGCAGAGGTGAGCCCAAAGGGATTATCAAACTGCTGATCCAGTAGATCTTTCAAGAAACAGGGGGGGGGTATCATTTACAGCCTCTTTAAATACTTTGTTAGATTGTTTTAACTGCAGACAGATTTTGTTTCTGACTGCAGTTTTAGGGAAAGACAATTAACAATGTCATGTAATTATTAAGTCTGCATGCACTGTACTCCCTTACTTGACCTCAGTGTGACATTTATTTTGGAAGCAACCAACAGCACTAGTGCTTTCTGCAGTTCTGCAAGCCTTCCACTTCAATCATTTATGGCCCTCTGCAATTCTGTACCTCAAATTAAAGAGAACAACTGTCAGAGAATTGTGACAGGAGCAAAGTTGGGATACTGAAAGCAGCAAGGTGAGCAAGGCTAACTTAGTTCTCAGATGCTTTATAAGAAGTGTACAAATCCAATATGCAATTTGCAGCAGACCACAAAAGGGCTGCCTTTGGAAAACGTGCTTGGCTCAATAAAAGATGTGACTTTACCTGCAGTTTATTTTCTCCATAAACCAATCCTGCCACACTAAATGAGTTTAAGTCCTGTAAATTTTCATTTTACTCAGCGAGTTTGTAAAATTAAAATTTTTTGGACTTAAACTCATCCAGCCAATGAATGAGTTTAAGTCCTAAAAATTTTAATTTTACAGGGCACCAACATATGGCAACCTTCCCACCCAAAGCCTTCCATCCTCCAGAGGATACAGATGTGCTGCTCTCTGCCACAGGCCAGGTTATCCCTGAAAAGCTGCAGGCATTTATTAACCCCTTTGAACTGAGGTGAGCTCTGGTAGTAACAATAAACACCTCCAGAGGCTCAGACTGGTTACTGTGGGTTGTACTGGGTGTGGTTTAGGTGTCCACATGGAGGGTGGGAAACAGCCCCTTGAGAAGTGTCATATTTTAACATCTTCCTTTTCCTGAATGTTCAGGATTTAGTTACCTTTCCAGGAAAAAAAGCCTGACATTTTGAATACAAAAATAATTTAGGGTATTGGTTGACAAAGGGACAAAATAGAAATAAAAAAAACCCAGAGAATCAAGGTTTAAAACAGATCAGGCTTCAGCAGCTTAAGAGTGCAGATGCTCCAAGAGATTTGGTGACAATTCAGTAATTCAGAGCAGGTTGTTATATGCAATTCCAAGTTTTTTAAACAGTGAAACTACAGCAGTCGTACTTCTTGTCTCCTCCCACTAACTGCAATGGCCAGTTGCTGATCACCAGCATTAAAAGACAAGACTCACCTGTGTCCAGCACTCCACCGCTTTCTTCACATGCCAAAATCCCGGGAACACGCCACAGCTGCTGCTGGGAGGGCAGGGACTGTGAGGAGGAACAGCCCCAGGGACCCTCCTTTCCTCCTTGGGAAAGGATTTTTTGCACGATTTTAATGTGGTCTTATAATGTTCTATAGAACATGCCAAGAACATGCTAACGTCATGCTAAGAACATGAGAATGTCATGCTAAGAACGTGAACATCAGGCAAAAAAATTAGATTTGCTTTTTGTAAGCATGACAGTCACATGTTCCTAGTATGATTTAAGCATGTTGCAAATAACATGCCAAGAACGTGCTAACATCATGCTAAGAACACATTAATGTCATGCTAAGAACATGAGAATGTCATGCTAAGAACATGTGAACATCATGCAAAAAAATCTTAGATTTGTTTGTTTTTGTAAGCATGACAGTCACATGTTCTTAGCATGATTTAAGCATGTGGTAAATAACATGCCAAGAACATGCTAATGTCATGCTAAGGACATGCTAATGTCATGCTAAGAACATGAGAACATCATGCAAAAATCTTAACTTCACTTTTTGTAAGCATGACAGTCACATGTTCTTAGCATGACATTAGCATGTTCTGAATAACATGCGAAGAGCACGCTAATGTCATGCTAAGAACATGTTAGTGTCATGCTAAGAACATGCTAGTGTCATGCTAAGAACATGTGAACATCATGCAAAAAATCTTAGATTCTATTTTTATAAGCATGGTAATCACATGTTCTTAGCATGATTTAGGTATGTTGTAATTAACATGCCAAGAACATGCTAATGTCATGCTAAGAACATGAGAATGGCACATTAAGAACATGCTAATGTCATGCTAAGAACATGTGACCATCATGCAAAAAATATCAGATTTGCTTTTTGTAAGCATGACAGTCACATGTTCTTAGCGTGATTTAAGCATGTTGTAATTAACATGCTAACATCATGCAAAGAGCATGCTAAGAACATGAGAATGTCATGTTAAGAACACGCTAATGTCATGCTAAGAACGTGAACATCATGGAAAAAACATAGATTCGCTTTTTGTAAGCATGACAGTCACATGGTTTTACCATGATTTAAGCATGTTGTAATTAACATGCCAAGAACATGCTAATGTCATGCTAAGAACATGAGAATGTCACGCTAAGAACATGCTAATGTCATGTTAAGAACATGAGAATGTCATGGTAAGAACATGTGAACATCATGAAAAAATCTTAAGATTTGACTTTTGTAAGCATGACAGTCACATGTTCTTAGCATGATTTAGGCATGTGGTAAATAACATGCCAAGAACATGCTAATGTCATGCTAAGGACATGCTAATGTCATGCTAAGAACATGTGAACATCATGCAAACCCCCCTTAGATTCTCTTTTTTGTAAGCATGACTTTCACATGTTCTTAGCATGTTCTGAATAACATGGGAAGAACATGCTAATGTCATGCTAAGAACATGTTAGTGTCATGCTAAGAACATGTGAAAGTCATGCAACAAAATCAGATTCTATTTTGTAAGCATGACAGTCACATGTTCTTAGCATGATTTAGGTATGTTGTAATTAACATGTCAAGAACATGCTAATGTCATGCTAAGAACATGCTAATGTCATGGTAAGAACATGTGAACATCATGAAAAAAATCTTAAGATTTGCCTTTTGTAAGCATGACAGTCACATGTTCTTAGCATGATTTAAGCATGTTGTAATTAACATGCCAAGAACATGCTAATGTCATGCTAAGAACATGTGAACATCATGCAACCCCCCTCAGATTCTCTTTTTTGTAAGCATGACTTTCACATGTTCTTAGCATGTTCTGAATAACATGCGAAGAACATGCTAATGTCATGCTAAGAACATGTTAGTGTCATGCTAAGAACATGTGAACATCATGCAAAAACAGATTCTATTTTGTAAGCATGACAGTTACATGTTAGCATGATTTGGCATGTTGTAATTAACATGCCAAGAACATGAGAATGTCACACTAAGAACATGCTAACGTCATGCTAAGAACATGTGAACATCAGGCAAAAAAATCTTAAATTTGCTTTTTGTAAGCATGACAGTCACATGTTCTTAGCATGATTTAAGCATGTTGTAATTAACATGCCAAGAACATGCTAACGTCATGCTAAGAACATGCTAATGTCATGCTAAGAACATGCTAATGTCATGCTTACAAAAATAGAATCTAAGATTTTTTTCGTGACGCTCACATGTTCTTAGCATGTTCTGAATAACATGTGAAGAGCACGCTAATGTCATGCTAAGAACATGGTAGTGTCATGCTAAGAACATGTGAACATCATGCAAAAAAAATCTTAGATTCTATTTTGTAAGCATGACAGTCACATGTTCTTAGCATGATTTAGGCATGTTGTAATTAACATGCCAAGAACATGCTAATGTCATGCTAAGAACATGCTAATGTCACGCTAAGAACATGCTAATGTCATGCTAAGAACATGTGACCATCATGCAAAAAAATACCAGATTTGCTTTTTGTAAGCATGACAGTCACATGTTCCTAGCATGTTGTAAATAACCTGCCAAGAACACGCTAATGTCATGCTAAGAACATGTGAACATCATCCAAAAATGTTAATATTCCCTTTTTAACCATGACATTCTCATGTTCTTAGCATGACATTCTCGTGTTCTTAGCATGATGTTAGCATGTTCTTGGCATGACATTAGCATGTTCTTAGCATGACATTAGCGTGCTCTTGGCATGTTAATTACAACATGCTGAAATCATGCTAAGAACATGTGACTGTCATGTTTACAAAATAGAATCTAAGATTTTTTTTGCATGATGTTCACATGTTCTTAGCATGATGTTAGCATGTTCTTGGCATGTTATTTACAACATGCTTAAATCATGCTAAGAACATGTGACTGTCATGCTAACAAAAAAGCAAATCTGATTTTTTTGTGTGACGCTCACATGTTCTTAGCATGACGTTAGCATGTTCTTAGCGTGACATTCTCATGTTCTTACCATGACATTCTCATGTTCTTGGCATGTTAATTACAACATGCCTAAATCATGCTAAGAACATGTGACTGTCATGCTTACAAAAAGCAAATTTAAGATTTTTTGCCTGATGTTCACATGTTCTTAGCATGACGTTAGCATGTTCTTAGTGTGACATTCTCATGTTCTTAGCATGACATTAGCATGCTCTTGGCATGTTAATTATAACATGCTTAAATCATGCTAAGAACATGTGACTGTCATGCTTACAAAACAAACAAATCTAAGATTTTTTTTGCATGATGTTCACATGTTCTTAGCATGACATTCTCATGTTCTTAGCATGACATTAGCATGTTCCTAGCATGACATTAGCATGTTCTTAGCATGACATTAGCATGTTCTTAGCATGACATTAGCATGTTCTTAGCATGACATTAGCATGTTCTTAGCATGACATTAGCATGTTCCTAGCATGACATTAGCATGTTCTTAGCATGACATTAGCGTGTTCCTAGCATGACATTCTCATGTTCTTGGCATGTTACATAGAACATGATAAGAACATGTGAAAATCATGAAAAAAAAATAATATCTGAGCTTGTTTTTTTTCCCAGCTGAAGGTTCCATTGCCTGCACACAGTTAGCCTGGAGTGAGAGAAATCCCAGGGAAAAGTTCCTTTCACCTGTTCCAGGGGCCCTTCAGGAGGATTTCCAGCACACCAGTTTCTTCTAAAATGGGTGCTGAAAGTTCTCAGAGAGTCTGCAACAAAAAGCAAAAAATGGTAAATGACTGGTGAGCTGAGAAAGCCAAAGGGGAAAAAAAATTCAGTGGGAATGATGTGATTTGTTATATTATGGCCAAAAATCAGTACAGAGGATGGTTTCAACAGTCTGAGCCCCACAGCAGAGCTGACTGTGCAGGGAGATGCTTTGAAATAGAAAAAGCTTAATTTTGGAGGGGTTAAATGGGAGGTGGAACTTCCAGGAGGAAATAAATAATAATAAAATGAGAGGTGGGATAAAGCCTGGAAGGAAATCAAAGCTTTAAGAGGCTGAGGGAGCCAGTTAATGATTAAAGGGTTTAGGGTTAAAGGGTTTTCAAAGGCAGGGATAAGGGAACATTCTTGAAGGCAATGAAATACAAACCAGAAAACTGATGTGAAGTCAAAGGGGAATACTGTGGAAAAAATAATGGCTTACAGAGCACGTAAAATGAGGGACATGGAGGATAAACAGCTGGAAACAGGATGTGGAAGAGCAGACATTTGTGCAGGTACTGCTTTACTTCTGTTTAAAAAATACAGGGGAAAAAAACCCACCTCAATAAAATTGCAGGAATACTCCAGGGGGAAATGGGAAGGTAATGTAAGAGAAGAGCAGTAAAAATAATCACATTTCTGGTAATCTTGCCATGATTAATGGGGTAATATTTGTGCATCCTTTATGAAATAATTATTAAGTGCTGTTTATAGTTAGTCTACTGAAAATGAGATAAAAACCATCCCAACAAACAGGATCCCCCTCTCCAGTACCAATTATGGTGTGACCTCATCCTGGGGGAGGAGATAAAGCCAACAAAGGGCAAGAGCTGGAACTGAGGTCAGACAACTTACCAACAGTGTTAATAAGGGTGATTAATTAACTGAAACCACTCACCAAAGGGTTACAAGGGCTGCTGCATCTCAAAGATCTTTAGAGCCATTGGGAAATATCTTCCTAAAGACAACCTGACCAACCACAACTCACTTGGTTTGGCAGAGACTTGAGAGCTGAATTTTGATTGTAGAAGTTCTGACCAGAAAAAAACTGTTGAAGATTTCTCTGAATCACAACCTGGGGAGAAGCTGATCAGAAAAGGTAATAAAATCATTCCTAAAGAGAGCAAAACCATAATTACTTCATGTCTGATAATTGAGACCAACTTCACACTCACCAGCATCAGCAGTGTCTGTAAATGCAGGAGTAAAAGTGCTAAAAGGGAATTTAAAGTGTGAACTTTAAAGAGAAATTATTAATTACACAAGGTTAAAAACAATGAGAGTAGATTTAAAGGGAGCAAGAATATCATATAATAGACTCAAGGAGAAGCAAATGATACTAAACTGTAAATGGTAGATGGAATGAAAGAATTCAGAAGAAAAAAGACCAAAATAGATGTATTATGAAGGCAGTAGAAAAACAAATGAGCTAAGCAACTGGAAAGTGAAACTGAAAATGCAGTTTAATTGGATATTAAAACCAGTATCACTGACAGGCCAAAAGGTCACATAGGAAATGGATATTGCTCAGAAATAACAGGAGGAAACAGGACGGGAGAGGTGATAAAGTCATTCCAGCATTCCAGGGCTGTAGCAGCTGTCAAAAATGAGGGAGCACAGCCAGGGAGAGGGGGAAAAAGAAAGGAAGTCTGCAAATGGTGCAGGAGAAAAATGACATCATCACACAGGTTAAAATGAAGGAAAGGAGATGCCAAGTTGCACTGGCTTCTGACAGCACTTCATGCTCCAACACCGAGCACCAGCCCCTCCACATTTGTGCACAGAAACCAGACCAGCACCAGATTTCCAGCAGTCCTGCCCACCTGCCCTTCATCTGCTGCTCTTGCACTTACTTAGGAGGTTCTTTGCTGACAAATCCAGAGACTGAAGCAACATATTATAAACAAATGAAAAGTCATCACAATCAGTTTAATGAAGTGCACAGAATAGCAATTGATCATGTCAATAAAAATAAAACAATTAATTTTACATCAAGTGTGCTTTATTTCCTCCACAGGTATTCTGTTAAATAAAGCACCATATATATACTGCCAGGCCACAGCTAAAGAGGATTCTTTACAGAATCAAATTTCTTGTGGTTGTTTAGTATACAAGTAAACTTAATTTTGATAATAAGAACCACAGCGATCTGAGGCAATCTGCCTCGATTATAAGGTACAAAACTGGCACAGAGGACACCATATTATACACAGTAAAAATGCCATAAGTTTAAATTACATCATACAGGGCCAGGAGGCCCTGTCTCCCAGACAGCCATATTAAATGAAAGCCACTACAGTGAACTCTTAATTACATAAAACATAGCCATTATCTGATTGCCCTTTAAGAAAGTGTACGGTAGGATGCAAAATAAAATAAAATTAAAAACAAAGAAAAGGATCTGGAGTTCTGCCTGACCAAGAATGAAGCATATAAATCTATCTTGCCATTCAAGCAGAGAGCACTGGACAAACTGAAGCACAAAACAGAAATAAGCAAAACTTATACAAACAGCATTTTTGGAGGGGAGGGGGGAGGGAGAAGAAGGATTTTAAAAAAAAAAAAAATACTTAAAAGCAGACATGCTCCATCTAATGTCAAGAAGCAGCTTGGTTTCCTTTCCCGGATATCCGTGTGACCACGTGAATCGTAGACTCAATGGTCCTGCACAGGATGTCTAAAATGTCCTGCTGCTGCATGTGACTAAAAAGTCCTCTGGAATGGCCACAGCTGATTGCTAAACTCGTGTCGGGGTCCTGGGCCGGTAAGGCTTGGCCGTCGCAGCCCCGCAGGTCTGCGAGGTCGGATAAAACCGCGGAGATCGACGTGGAAGGGAACTCCGAGTCCTCCTCGGCTCCCATGGAATCCTTGGGAGCCTGCAGGTCTTTGAACTCTTTGCACTCCTCGAATTTCCCGTTTCCCGGCTGCTCCTCCGCGTGCTGCGCCCGCGTGGCCAACAGTATGTCTTCTGAAAACGAAGAAGGGCCTTCCATTCTGTACTCCTTGACAGAACTGCTCTCGGGGGACGGAGGGTCCTGCTCCGTGCCCGGATCGATGATGGAGGAGTCCCGTGTCTCGTTGTCCGAAGTGCTGGTGGGGGTCAGAGCCTCCCTGGGCTCAGCTTTGATGTCGCTGAGGCAACTGTCCACCGTGTGCTCCTCGTCGCTGCTGACCCGCCGCCGCTTCACGGGAGTCGCTCCTTCATCGTCTGCAAGGAAGGGAAAACTGGCTCAGGGAAAAGGCGCTTTTCCTGCCGCTCCCGCCCGCTTGCACATTCCCATCCTTTCCCACCTTCACCAAATACTTATTTCCTGAGGGAAAATTCATGCAATTCATGAATTTTAGCTCCGTAATAAAGTATTTCCCGTGCAGTGCTGGACTGAGGAATGGCCCACCCTGCAGGGATAAAATAATGTCTTACGCTCATTTTACAACCATTAGAGCGACACCATTATAAGAAGGCAAACCTTTAGTTTTTCTTTCTTTGGCTTCTTGCTCTTGTAATGAGTTCCTCTGTTGCTGACAAGCTCTACATTTGTTTAAAAGCTCTTGTAAAGTTGGGATCAGGGCTGAGTTGAGCTGTTTGGGAGTGTGCACTGAAAGCAGCAAGGCAAGTGCTCGGAGGTCCTGGAAAAACAGAGCAGTAACAAACTTAACAAGCCTTATTTCAAACTGGCTTTGGATTAATCCTGTGCAGTCAGGCCCAAAAGATCAAATTCCAGATATATTTACACTACTGAAATGTCCCACTCTCTGCTGTCTGCTGACCTTAATGCAGATCTGTCCTAAGACAAAATCTGGTTGGGTTAGGACGTTCCTACCATTAAATCTGTTGCACTTTGCATCACTTTGCTCCCCAGGATATGACATTCCCAGGTTGCCATGCCCTCACCAGGCACAGAGTGGAGCAAACAGTGCCCACTCTTAACCAGGACCTGGCACAGGGCACTGAAGAGTTCCTGTAGGAAATAAATTGGTATTTTAACAACTTAGGAAAGACTCACCCCGTTTAGAGTAGAGCTTGCTTTGGAAATTTCAACCCTCTGGTTGCTGAAGTCGGATTCTAGGCTTTGATACTGATTTATTAGATTTGTAATTAGAGTATTGATTAAGTTGGCACAGTTTGCTTCAGAAAACACCTGCCCTTGCACCTGTGAAAAGAAAGTACTTTTTTTTTAAACCTGAAAAAAATTGGAACTGTGAAAACAGTATCCCAAAATGAAACAGCATCAATGACTGCATTCCTTGGAATTATCACTAAAGGACCACGTACCTTGAGAAGAAAATGGGTCAGAAAGGTGTACACAATGTTGTTGTTGAGAAAGGTCCTTTCATCCATCAGGATACATTTTATGTATTCTGCAAAAACTGGATCTTCACAGAGCAGCTTCACACAGTTCTTGGACACGGCAGACTGGCAGGGAGAGAGAACATTGGAAGTCAGGCCCACTGAAACACAGCTCAGGTCCAGCAGGTGTCAGCAAATTGTACAAATCCTTATTTCACGTTGTCCTGGAAGGCTGGTTTATCCCATCAGTACGTACGGGAAGGGACGGTGCCTCCCAAAGAGATCTCCCAGTTTTCCTTTCATCATCCCAGTGTTTGTGCTACATTTATGTAGCTGGGATTTCACAGGGCAGGACAAGGTGGTGTCTGCACACCCACCATCCCACCAGTGCTGCTGTGGGGAGTTGTTCAGTGTTTGCAGGGTGTACTGGGAGAAAATGCAATATCCCAGATTTTACACTTCAGTTCTCAGGTTCTATCAGGTGGCAGCAACATAAGCAGAGGTGTTTTATTAAACACCCGTTAGTTACAATTCCTGGGTTCATCCCTGTGTTTTGCCTGTATTTCCATTCTTTTGGTTCTCAACCTGCCTCTTACCTGAGTCTGACACAGCTCAGTCCAGAGCTTGGGGAACAGCGCGAGATGAAGTGGCAAACCTTCATAAGCAACCAGGACACCTGGAATTGCAGGAGGAAGCAAATCAGTGTGGCAGAATTTTGTGGGAGACAGGGAAATTCCTGATAAAAGCAGTGCCAAGGTGCTGTATCATTTCCTAGGATCACATTCCAAGCATTTCTTATGATCAGAAACCCTCAGTCTGTGAGGTTCGTACGGTCCATTTAATGAACACACAAATGGGTGATTCAGGGGGTAAAAGAACATTCTGTGATCGCTCTTTGGACAAGATTATTGGTGTGACACTGAGGTCTGTGCACACTGAGTAACTCACCCTCAGGTCCATGGGGGAAGACAAAACTTTAAATATTGTCATATAATTGCCACTGAGGTGCTCAGGACTCAGCATCTGATCCAAAGCCATTTAAACTGCCCATACCAGTTCTGTATTAAACTCTAAATGCACAAAACCCCTGAATTCTCCCTGGTTGCCTCAGCTCCTTTCTGGACAGGTCCAAAGTGTGCCACTCACGTGGGTAAGGCTGCACTACCTCATACATGGATACCAGTTTTGTGGATCAAAATAATGTCCAAATGCAGCGAGTTTCGCAAGCTCTGCTTTTCCTTAAAAACTCTGAATATAAAACTCAGTGGAGAAGCACTCAAAGTTACCGCAGGAAAAGTTACCCTTGGGCTGTTTCACCCTGATACTCACTCATTTTAACTAAAGTTTCAGTAAACTTTTCACAGTTGATTGCAACTCGACACAGGAGGTGGATGAACTGGTGATAGGAGAAGAAATAGTCCAGCAGCATCCGGTCGTAAACATCATCTTTGCCCTGAAGATTTAAGGGAGCTTCATTTAAACTACAGAACAACAGGACAGCTCCCAGAGTTCCTAAACATCTCCCTTCGTGTCACTGCACTTCCTGCCCTAAAATGCTTCGTTGTGTGCTACAGGAAAACAGTGGGAATCTCCAGGTGCCTCCTTGCCCAGCCCTTGGCAACACCACGTGTGATGGGAGGAGGGATGGCATAAACTCCCCAGCAGTAAAACCTTTTACTGGAGGACTCTCACTCAACATTGAGAAGGTGCAAAGCTCTGCAAATACCATGTCTTGAATGGGACAAGAAAAGAATCAGTAATTTTACATCACAAACAGATACCTAAGTATAAATACATGACTGCTTTTTAAATTATCATTTGTCGGTTATGATCTGCAGAACTCAGAATTTTCTTGAGACTAAGCTTCACAAGGTTTTTAAGCAGAATTTTTCAGGATGTCTCAATGATATATGTATGCCAGTATTTTAATTTACTTTGGACATACACGCTTAAAATGGCATCAGCTTCTGTAGAGCAGAGAGCCAAAAGGAAACCTCGAAAACTCAAGCAAACAAAGCAGTTGAATGAAAACCAAGCATGCAAAACCACAGGGAAATGGGATTGTGGATGTGGTTACAGAGGTTTAAAAATCCTCTGCTTCCTAATGTATAGGAATTCGATATAAAGTCTAAAGTACGGTGTCATGTAGGATGACAACTTTTAAAGTTCAGACATTTACACTATGACATATCGTGGCCATACACGATGGGAAGAACCCACCACAGATAATTTCTGGCTCTCTGTGATTTTTGGTTTTTAAGCACTTGGTTCACACGGTCGATTTGATGGTGCACAAATAGACACAGCATCGTTCTGAAAGCTTTAGAAAAGAAGGGTTACTTACCCTACAGTAACCGAGCTTCTTCGAAATGTGTTGCCCACACAGATTCCCATCTACGTGCACATAGGCCCCATGTGCAGGAGATTGGATTCTTTCTGAAAAGCTGTGTCCACTGGGGCTGTGCCTGCACCCAGTGTGTCCTTGCGACCACTGTACCTGAGGGCACAAGGGGTATGGCGGCTTCAACCACCACTCCATTCCTTCACCCATAAGAATCCCCTAGGACAGCACCTGGAATTAGCACAGCGGGAGGAGCACAGAATCTGTGTGGACAAAGCATCTTGAAGAACCACGGTTACCGGACAGCAAGTAACCAGTTCTCCTGCTTCAAATGATTGTCCATACATATTCCTGTCAGGGTGGGATTCACCTGACCTGACTTTAGCTATCTAAAATCCACTCGGGGTTCCCTGCGGTCGGTGGAGAGGGAGGCAGAGTCACCTCATCCAGACTCAGGGCAGGAAGGAGGGGGATTATTCACCTCCTTCCCGGGGTTAACTATTTATGGCCACAGGATGAGCTGGAAGTTGACTTTTTAGATAGGCAAAGTGCCGTGAGCTGAATCCCACCGTTGGTGCAGCTGTAACAACGGGACGTGGCAAATCACTACGGAGTAGCCCCACCAAAACTGGCATCCCATCAGGAAGCCCACAGAAGGGAAAATGGGAAGTGAAAGACTTAAAAGCCCTCTATGACATTGCAGGCACTGGATTTTACCCAGACAAGTAGGATATTACACCTCAGTCCCAGCTCAATGGACTGATGGAACCTGCAGGATCTCTTTGGCTGTCTGGCAATAAAACCTCAACATGTTGTGAAACCCCTCTGGACAATCCCTCAATTTTCTTTATAAATGCCACAGACAGATTGGAAAATCACCCAAATGTGTGCCCTGGGGTTTTTTTTCCTAACACTAGGTCCAAACCCTTATTCTGCCTGGAATATGGAGCTGTGTGTCAGCAAGGGCAGGGAAATGGTGCTTCTGGAGTGCACAACTAGAATGGAGTATATGAGGACAACACATCTTGAAGAAGAATTATGCTTTGCTTACAAAGAAAAGGTAAATGCATTGAGCTACTGGATTCTTGCCATACTTTTATAAAAATGGGCAAACAAGAGAGAAACAGCTCTTTTTAGGGCCACACTTGACATACCTTGCTGGCTTCCACCATGGTTGGCAGGAGGCACATGTTGAGTTCGGGACGCGGAGGACGAATGTTGCTTTTCCCCCCTATTAATTTCAAATTTTCACGACATGGAAAATAAGGTCCAAGAGACACTGTAGTGTAAGTTCGGATAAAATAGGGGATAACATTAAAAAGGTCAATATTTGACGTCAGCAAGGAACACGACAGAGTAATAATAGTGTAAGAGAACTTCAAAATACAATCACTGAAATACCTACTTGGGATATTACTGTGGTGGTATGTACAATGATTGTGCTGTAGAAATGGAACCAGAGTATGTAGGAAATCATGAGGACTTAAAAGTACAAGCTCCTTGAGGACATCTACAAACAAAAAGTTGTTTTTGCTATTACATATTGTTATTTCTTAACAGCAAACAGTTCAACTTAAGGTTCATGCATTTGCAAACTCTCTTCCATATCCCTTTTCACTCAGCTCCACTGTGAGTAACACCTGAGTGACACCCCTAAATCAGTCCCAGTTCCCTTCACCTCTGTGTGCCACTGGGAGAAAAGCTGCTCAGTGGTAGATCACCCACCAGGGACGGGTGTCAGCTTGGAGAAAGGAGAAGCTCAGTAAAATTTACCCTCTTTGCTTCTTCTTAAACGGGTCTGACTCCTGGAAAATGTCAACCAGCAGCAGAGTCAGGAGGACAATGAGGAAATACTCAAAACAGGGGGAGATGCATAGAAATCACACAAAAAAAAGGTAATTTGGACACAGTTTTAGGCCTTTATCAGCAATCCATTAAATAACATTAAAAAAGCCTGAACTAGGAAAAGCCTGGACCTTTCTGACATAGCTCTGCTAATGCAAAAGAGACACTTGTATTTAATACCTGTGTCTACATTTTAAAGAGCAAATCCATGCCATTCTACAAGCTATTTTAAGCTTTACTTCCACTATTCCACTTTACAGCAGTGGGTCAGAAAAACCAACAGGAAAAGCTGTTTCTCAGACTAACCTGGTCACCCCTTCTGAGGGGAGCGTTAGTTCATGTTTGGATTTTAATGGAGATTTGGGATTTGCTTCTTAACTCACACCTGAATTGAGGAGTTATTCCTCAGGTGGCAAATTTAGTCTCTCAGTGACAGCTGACTGTTTGTGCCTGGGGAAGTGGGAATATTCCTTCAAACCTGACACAACCAGGATTCTTTAGGATCAGAACATCAGCGCTGATGTCCTGACAATATTCCACGAACAATCCCGACCTACAGAGTTTTCTGGCACTTAGAAAAGTGGCATTTACACCTCACAGCAGGTACCTGTGCAGGACAGGTCCTTCCTGCCTGCAGGTTCATGGGCAGGACTTACCAATGCAGGCATTCCTAAGCTCGGGAGGACTGTAGGAATTGAGCAGAGTCAGGAGCTTATGGGCAAATTCAATCCGCTCCTGCCACTGGATGAGAGCTTGTTTCACATCTGCAAGTGCAAACATCACATCTGCTCAGGGCATTGCTCAAAAGCACTTCAAATAAAGCACAGGAAAAAAGAATCTCTTTTTCCTCTAATATGACTGTAATCCACCTAGAAATCTGTTAAATTAAATTTATGTAATCTCGTTTCACACTCATAACTCAGTAATAAATAACAATTTAATATCTATTAGTGACCATAATAGATATGGTCTGTTCAGCAAGTTTTTAAACAGATCATAAGCAAGACAAAACCACCAGGGTTTGGGTGAGGAAAATGAATTCACAGACAACAGGCATATAATCCTTCCCAGGGTTATAATCAAACCTTTTCTTTGCAGATATGGACGTGTTGACTTCAGAACCGAAAGGAAAATGGACAGAAGCTCTACCAGGTCTCCAGTTACATGGCAGGCTGTGGCCTCATGGTACATCATGTGCAATGTGTTAAAGGACTGGGAAGAAAAAAATGCCAGAATTAACAAGCCAAATTAACATATTTGTTAGTATTTCTCTTTTTATCCTTTAAGTACATTTATTTTATGCTCAAAAAATACACAGTGCCTGATATATTCACAAAGTTCTTTGTTTTCAGGGTAAAAGCTTTGTGTAACTGGCTCAAAATAATGACAAAGTTTTCACATCTTTATCTCCAGCCCAATGAACAAAGCAGAATTTGAGACACAGGATTTTTGTACACCTGGAATTCTGTGCCAACAGACCAAGTGCTACAAGAAGTGCAGAAGGACAGACACAGGTACGTGAATTTGGGGAAAAGAAAGATAAGATTAAGATAGATGCCACTCATTTTTCAAAATGCTGCTTAAGGACATCTGCTGTGTGATTGTACATGAGATGAATTACTCCTCCTTTTATAACTAAAATACCTCCTGGGCATCTGTGATTGATAGAAAAATCGGGGAAGGAAAAGCAACTCATTTCCGAACGGCAAAAATTCCAGCGCAAGATGTAAGAGGAGATATTTGATCTGCTGGGGGATTTGAAAGACAAAGGAACAGGAACCTCATTCCCTGTAATGCAAGACCTTGCCAGGCCATTTTTATATTCCAGGGGAGATAAAAGACACATGGCCAATCCTAAGTGGAAAACCCTTCTGGATGTGACAACTCCTCGGCGCGTTATTTGTCACCACACAAAACACTTCCAGCCAACAAGGGAAAATATAAGAGCAGGTGATGTCAAGCTGTGAAGTAGCATTAGTTTTACCTCATTTCTAGCACTGTTTTACACAGGATAAATTAATTTTGCTATCACAGACTCCTTATAAATTTAATTATCCATTGTTGGTATGGATCAGGGTTAACTAAGCTGTTACACAAGTTTTTTTAATACATCTGTACACAGGTATCTTAAACCTACTTATGTTTCGTGTATGGATAATGTTATAGCTCAGTTCCTAACTTTTCAGACCCAGTTTATTGAATTTAGGCATTTTCACAACAAAGAGGAACAGATACTCTGGAGTAATTCCACAGTTAATTAATCAATAGCCTTACATGTGTAACAAGCTCCTGAAAACTCAGTTTTTAAACAGCACTGCAGTGTGTTCATTTTCATTTTTCCAAGTGATTTTGGAATTCCATCTATCACACTTTTCCCCAGAAAATACAAACTGGTGACGTACAAAAGGAGTTAAGAGAATTTTCTTATACAAACCATATAAAAATGAGACTGGAATCAATCTCAAAGCATCATCCAGTCCACCCACATGCCTTAAGGCAGACTAAATATCCTTGACAGATGTTTGCTCAAAGTCCTCCTGACAACTTCCAGTTGTGCTGGCTGACCCCTCCTGCACAGCCTATTCCCAAATCCCATTTTTCTGCACAGCCACAAACACCTCCAAGCCACTTGTCCTGCCCCAAGGGTTTCACTAGTTTAATCTCTCTCCCTGAATACACCACTCTACACGTGCCAAGAATGAACTGGATCTTATTTTTATGCTTTCTCCAACACATCCAGCTTTTTATTCCCAAAGGGATCTAACACATCCTTCCCATGGTGCATTGCCAGGATATTGAATAAACACCCGTTCTCATCCATCACCTCCCTAATGGAAGTGCTGAACAGAATCCAGGATATGACACCCTCAGGAGTGTGGATCTGTGCAGTGAAACTGTTGGGGGGCAGGGACTCCACATCCCAACTGTATCCAGCTCAGAGATTAATTATGTCAGGGGTTTTTCCCCTTTCTATTTTGAACTAACTCTGGTCTGGTCTCATGGCCCAAATACCCATTTTCAACCTGACTACACTAAATGTGCTCCAGAAACACATTTTAGGTTTAGTTTCATCAGAAAGAAATCGAGTTTATGTGTTCTCAGACCACTCCTTCTTGCAAACAGAGGCACAAAAGACAGGAAAGATAAACTGCCTCAGCAGGGCTTCAAAGAAATGTCAGAAATACAACTGCAGCTGAGTATCCTTCAAGTTATTTCTGTTTTTTAACCTGTTGCCTTAACACTTTCTAACTAGTAACAATTGTGTGACTGTGCTCAGCCATTCCCAGTTATCTGTAACAAAGGGAACGACACCAGAAAAGCAGAAATTTACTCCTCTCAGCATCATCTGTGGGTGGTTTTCCCTCTGTCCTGAGAAACAGGCAGTTTCCTGATCTTTTTATTACTAAAGAAATCTTATTAAAGACGACAGGGGAAGTACCAGTGTGAGATGTTTGTTATAATTAAATAGCAAAGCACTTACCTCAGTCATCAGAATCAATCCTCTGTTGAACACAACAAGAAGTCTGTCTTCATCAGATTCTAATAATATTCTGAAGGCACTAGGAAAAAAATCCAGATATTGAAAACACTGAAAATTGCATCCCATCTTTTCACAATTCAAAGAAATGCTTAAAAATGTTAAGTTCGTGCTGTATTTTGGTAAAAAAAATCACAGAAGAACAAAGAAACCCCAAAAGAACACCAAAAAGAACATCTTCTCTTCACTTTTTCCCCTCATATTGCTGTCAATTTTCTTTATGTTATGGAAAGTATTTTATAAACAGAAACATTTCCCAGGAAAACCTAAACTATTTCCCAAATAATATCTGCAAAAACGTGAAAAACTGGAAAATAACAAACTTCAAAAGGGAGAGGTTTATGCTTCTTAAATGATAAATTTAAACAGGTTCATTTAAGCATATGTTTGGCCTTTTAAATGCACAAAAACATTTTTATCAGGCTATTTTATGCTTTCAGCAGAACAGGAAAGAAAGGATTATATTAATGAATGATTTCTCTCAACATAAAAATGATTCCAGAGCGTTTGGGACAGCCTGGTTGTGCTCTGTGCCGGGTGACCCCATGTCACCCTTCCAGGTAACAGTTTGTCCTTTTCACAAGTGTTTCAAAACATCAACACTTGCATGTAAAACCCCAAACCTGACCCTACACACACAGGCAATTTATAGTTCCCTGAGAATGCCCAGCAACAGTTTCAGATGAACTACTAAGACTAGAAATGAAAAACACTTCCAAGACACGACACAATAAAATTCTGTCCCACAGGCACAATTTTTACCAAGCCCCAAAATAACAACCATCAACAAGAGCAGATGAAACTACAGCTTTTCCCATCTAATCAGGGTAGGCTGAGGGTGGAATTCCAGTGAAATGCTGGATGGGAACAGTGCTGTACCTTATCAGAGTCGTCCAACAAGACCGTCCGTCCAAGCAGCGCAGGTAACAGCTTATGGTTGTCTTCTTAAATTGCTTTATGTCTTCTATCTCCTCCTCTCTCATGTCTGGCCTCTGAGCTACAAACAGTTGCATGAGGTTAAACAGCTCTTCTACTGCCTGAAACACACAAAAATACTGGGTTAGAGCCATCTCTCTCAGTATGTTATGGTTTAGGTCTGATTTTTATTACTTACTCTGTGTGTGCTACTGCTGTTAAGTAACACATGGAACAAACACATGTGAGCAAATTCAGATGGGAACTCATTCTTGAGCATTACAACAAAGTTACAAAATCAGATGTTGTGGTGCTTCCTAACAGTACAGCTCCTTGCCACATATACATGTACACACATAAACATATATATATATATATATATATATATATACACAAAGGAATCTGAAATCCCCATCCCTGGGACCAAACACTTGGAAAGCTGCTTGTGCTAAAACCTGCTGCAGTCTGGGGAACACTAATAAACACAATGGAGTAACTCAGGTCCCTTATAAGACAAACTGAGGTTTGCAAGGGGAGATGCCAACCAGGAAAGCAGCAGGACTCCTCCCAGGACTGTCAGGGTATGAAATTTCTCTGTGAGCTGAACTAGGCAGATGTTTAACACAGATTTCACACTTCCTCTGTCTCTCCTTCATGGAGATCTTTGTATTCTTTCTGTCCCTGCACACCCCTAAAGGACCCCAAAGCAATTTTCACAGGGCAATCAAGCAAAGCCAAGTACTTTGCCCTTTGTAGGGCTGTTTTTTCCCCATTACACACCTACTTTAGCATCTACTCTCTACTGGAAGTGTTGTAGTGACAGTGCAATTCCCTGTGTTTGCCAAAGCTATGTGAGTGTTCCCAAGGTGAACACCAGGCTGTCCTCCACTGGAATGCAACAGGCTTAATTCTGGCCCTACTCCAGAAACTGGGAATTCCTCCAACTTCACGTGTTAGAACACAACCTGCTTTCTAGACCACCACTAAAGGCTATTCCTTGCTTCTCACGACTAAGCCGGCGTATGGAATACTGAACAGTGGAAACACCTGTGTCTGCTCCCACAAAAAAAACACATCTGCTCTCCAACTGCTCCACAGCAAGGACCATCCAAAACAACCCCCCCAAAGTACAGTAAGGGAATCCAAATGCGGGCACGTTAAATAATGTCACATTTTCCGTTACAGGGGACGTCGGGGTAAGAGGGGAAATGGCGCCAATGGAATTTTGGTGCCAGGTACTTACTCCTGGGTACTGGCTGGCGTGTGGGGTGAGGTTCTTGAAGGCCCACTGGATGTTCTGGTGGGAGGCCAGCTGCCTGGTGAAGGCAGGGGACTGCTCGCAGCAGAGCCGCAGGATGCCGTAGTAGGCCGGGAGCATCCCGCGGTTGAAGAGCACCACGTCCTGGTCGTCGTGGTCGGCCAGGATGTAGTTGAAGGCAATGTTCTTGGTCACCACGGGGTTCTGGACGATAAGGCGCACGTTCTCGGGGCAGTCCACGCACACGTTGTACCAGAAGGACAGCAGGGCCTGCTTGTTGTGGTTGGTGGCGATGGCCGGCTCGGAGAGCTTGGGCTGGAAGAGGTTCCACAAGTCCATGAAGTAAGTGGAGAACATGAGTTTCTCGGTTTTGGAGATCAGACAGTACGTCATGAAACTGAAGTAAGGCACCAGCTTTGTGGTGCCGTGGACAGCAGCATCAACATAGAGTTTGGCTCGTGAGAGAAGGCCCAGCAGCACGTTGTAGACTTGGTGAAGGACCACCGTGGTGTCGGGGCTGAGGGGCAGGTCACGGGTGGGGATGTGCAAAGAGCGGGTCGATCGGAACATCTGACGGAAGGAATTGCTTGGAATAAGCGACACCAAGAGATAGGCTGCAGCTTCAAATAGAAACAGATTTGTTACACCTTTGGCAGTGACACACCTGCTTAACAGCCATGTTAAATTACACTGTACATTCCATTTACAGATCCCAAAGGGTTTTACAGGCTCTGCTATTACCACAGTCACACTAGGGATGAAAAAATCCCAGTGGATAGGACTAGTAAAACATGCTAACAGTGGTGCTGAGATGTGCTTTCAGGCCTCTTCACCCTACATCCCTGTGTTGTGCCTAGTTCTCCCTGTGCTGACACTGCATCCCCCAGGAACACAAACCAGATTTTTCCATGACTGTCTACTGCTCAATCAAAACATCATTATCTCCTCAGAGATGTTTGCAACTGCAGCCTCTTGCAAAGCTGTACCTCCAGTCCCCACATCTCCCTCAGCCACAGAAAATGTATTAAAGTTCAGTGTGTCCTGTACTGTGGAACCTCCTTTGTAAAAAAAATGGGGACACAGGAAAGGCTGAAAATGTGCTCTGGCAATCTGACAGTGTTATTCCTGGCAGAACACACTAGACAGTCAGGACAACCTGGAATTCAGGAGAAGGCACAGGTGGCTTCTCCTTGATCCACAACTGAATTACTCTGTGAGGGGTGAAAGAACACCACGTACTACTCCTACCTACAACTATGTGATGGACACTATGGAAAACCTTCTGGATTAGCTCTTTTTCCTCTTTAGGTTTTCCTGAACCTTGCAGATTAACCACATGGGATAAAGAACCTACTAAAGTATCATTTAAGTCACCAAATGAAAACATAGTTTTCATCAAAACTGGGTAGCAAGTCTTGACGAGGCACCACAGTTGTACTAAGATGTTAAAATACAGCAATTCCAAAACTACTGGAAAAGGAAGGAAAGACAAACACGGGAGCATTTGTGACAGGGACACCCCATGCACAGTCACTTGCTACAACAAAAGGAGAATCATTTTCTTCACTTGAAAGTCACTTACAAGTTCTCACTCGGGGGTAGTTGTGTGCCAGGAGAAAACGTTCCACCCAGTTTTCCATGTTTTGCAGGACCCAGCTGTGGGCGAGTTTGTTGCGGGGGGTTTGCACAGCCAGCCAGTCCAGGCACTGAGAGGGGTTGTACTCAATGACCTGACAGGAGAGTGGGAAAATCAACAGGAATGCATTACCCTTGGCACTAAAACCCCCTAAAAATAACTTTCAAATATCTTTTTAAAATCACTTAGTGCTATCAAAGCACCTACAGGACTGAGCTGCTCTGGCACACAAAAAAACCCCTTATTACTGTTTTGTGCTTCTGAACCTTTTAGAGCTTTTGAAAGTTCAGTCTAAGTGCAGGAAATTATTCTGCATATTATGAGATATTCAGGAGTTGAGATATTAAGCACTAAAACTGAACAATCTTGTCTTCATAAACAAATAAGTGGGATTTTTTTAAAATATCCAACACAAAACCTTAACACTGAATCAGTGTCTTTGCACATCAAAAGAACATAAATGGTATGCAAAGACATTCACACAGCTTCGTGCTGAGGGTAACCAGGACATTTTTTTTTTGTGAATTTACAGTTTCAGGGAATAAATTCATCCAGCATTTTTCCAAGGCAGTGAACAGCCTGTGGAGTGTTGTGTGGGATCAAAGCCCAAAGAATAAGGAGAAAACGTGGCTTCCTGGGTCTTTCTGGTTCTGTGCAGTTGAAAATCTGTTGACATGAGGCCAGTGAATGTAATTAGTTCATTTGCTAGTTTTTATAAACTGTTTTCTTTTTACCTTGAGCCTCAGGTGCCCAAACAAGGAAAAAGGAACTCTTCCCTATCCAAGGAACCAGAGGGAGTAACTGGATTGCTGAGCTGCCCCCAGTTACTCTAATCCACCTGAAGAATCAGAGCAGCTGACAGGACCAGAACTCTGCTTATAAAATTTTAATCTCAATTTAAAAATAAAACACCTGAAGAACAATCTCCCCCCTTTATTTAGAAATGACAAATGGATCTGTCAGGTTTCCTTGGCAATGGCTGGAGGTGATGTCCAAGGAAGGGACTGTCATTGCTCACTGTCTGCAGAGCTCCAGCACCTTTTAATGACTTCTGGAAACTGGAGTGGCTGCAAGAGGAGGTTCTACACCCTAAATCTGCCTGTCTGTGCATCAGGTGCTGGGTCTCTCATCCTTGCCTGCACTGTTTGTATCCCTAGACCTGTGCTGACAAGGTAAGGATAACCCTGGAAACACCAGAGCCAGAAATACTGCTAAAAGTCTGATTTTCCAAGAGAAACCTTGGAGGCCTTGCCTCCTCTGCAGGTTCAGTCTGTGCAGTCAGGATAAAGAGGGAAAATAAAATGAGGATTGCTTAAAAAATTACATCTCTAAACTTTGCAGCTGAGGGAAGCACTAAGCAAAGGGACTTTACTTCATGCCACAGCTCATGTATTGTCACAGGAAATTTAATTAAAAAACTCTGGGAAAGATTTCCTGAGGGAAATTCATAACCTGCCACTTCCCATCCACAAAAAGCAGCTGGATGTCATTCTGGACCTTCAGATCTGCTCTCTGAACTTTCTTTACCTGAGGAGCAGACACAGCTCATTCATCAGATCAGTCACCTGGCAAACACTTGCTGTCCTACAACTGCTCCCAACCAGGAGGAAAATCCTTGGGAACAGCAATCCATGTTCTACCCCACAGTGGGCAAGGTAGGTTTGTGTTTTACCAGGGGGCTCAATTCTGCACAGTAACAACCTCTTACAAACCCCAGCCCCACTTTTTGGAATATTCAATGTTCCAGTTTCCAGGCTGGACACAGTACCCTTGGGAATAAAGACAGCAAACTGTACTGGGAACTCCAAGAGCAGCCACATGAAGTGAAAGCTTTTACTTCCTCACCTGTTGCTCAAATCAAGGAATTTATCCCTGTGCCAACTTGTGGAAAAGTCTCTTTCTCACTTTAGAAAGCAAGAATATTAAAGGAATTTGTACAGAATGGCCAAAAGAACCCCACTAATAACTGCTGGGTCTTGAAACATTTTACAGTCCTTGCAAAGGATAACTGAGAAAACTACCTGGAACTGGCCTAGAAGCAGCATTCTAGACTCTTATTGTGAGTCAATTAATTTCTCATTAAGCTAAAATTTAAATGTCTATTGGCTGTTGCCATTTATTTGGAAGAGGAATGGTAATAAAAAAATCATGGACCTATGCAGCAAGGAAATGTAAAACCTTTTCATGTATGTCAAAGAACCAACAAGAGAAAGACAATTTAGCTTCTGGTGTCTTTTACAGCTTGTACCTCCCATATCCTCTGCAGAATGTAAGAAGCAAAGGGTGGCATTCCTGGAGGTCCACCAGCAAATTCCATGAGCATGGTCAGCAATTTGAAGAAAGGATTGGCTGCCTGCAATGCATAAAAAGAAGAATATAATTTTTGATCTGTTTTATTTTATCCACTGATTTTTTTTTTTGAGAGTATTTAAAAAATCCCAAACCAAAGTCTGTAAGATTTCCATGAACTGTAGACATGAACATTTATAATACTTTAATCCCTTACTATTTAATCTGTAAATAATCCATATATATCCATATCCACACATGGATACAGCAGAATTAAGCCCCTGGTTACAGTCAGTGCAAGGCAACATGATACAAGATTTTTTTTTTAAGTTTTCCAAGACTCACTCAGCTTCTAACAACCCTTGAAGAAAGAGTTTAATACTATAATTACATATTTTGCATCTGGAATCCATTTGGAACTCTCAGTACTTTTGTTATTACCCGGGTAGGAATTTAATCTGACTGAGAAATGTGTTTCCATGCATAGAACTGCAAAATATTACCCCAAAACTTGAACAACCAGACAATAATTACTCATTTCCACTTGTTCTAGAACAAAGATTTTAATATTAGCAATTTTTAAAAAAAAATTCCTATGGGTGGAGAACGTAGAAATACATTTTTTGGCTTTGAATAAAACTTTCATCCTAAGTGGCCCAGCACATTTCTGCTTTCAAAAACTTCAGCCACAGTGCAGTTCCACTTCATTTAATGGCACAAAAACTTCCCTGGATCATGTTCCATGCAGGATTTTCGATTAGCAAAGGATTATTTGAATAATTTAAAACAGCAAAATATGGAGGCAGACTATTTAATAGACAAGTAATATGTTTACATACCTCAGGAGTCAACTTTGCTATAGATGTGAACAGCATGGACACAATCTTAAAGACAAAACAAAACTCACTTAGACTTGTGCTTATTCACTAAAATAATAAAAATTACCTCATTACATCTATTAGAGAAGATTTTCAACAAACAGGCACGAGTCCCTTGTACTCACATGTTCTGCAAGTCGATTGTTGTACCGGCACAGACTGAAAATGAGGTTGCAGGTTTGCCTGATGTTGATCCCATCACGGATATGTTGGAATAAAAAAGGAAAGCCCTGCAACAGATAATCGGGTATTACTACACTGCCTACAATTATATATGCACAGAGAGGTTTGTTTAAGGCTTATACAGTCATTCTTAAATTACTTACCTTTCCCCCTGTCAATGCTGCCATGTCATTTTGGGACAAAGTCAAATGCCTAAAATAAAGAAAATTATCATTTTAATTTTATCATTTTATTCAGTGATGAATAAGTAAAGTTAAAGAGACATCTAGTACTGAGTGTTTATATTCTTCAGGGTCACAGCACACAAGAGACAATAAAGGTGTAAAAAAGATGTAAAAAAGAACAACAAAATCAGTATTTTTTACTTAGACCAGATAAAAAAAGAAATCCGCATGTGGACAATTGAATGTTTCTACATATTTAACCCAAGTGTTTTTCGTGGCCAACAATGACAAAATCTTTACCTTTTAAATGGTTAAAAATAAAATGGGCTTAAATACAAGCTCATTTATGCTGTTAAAATAGCCCACAATAAACCCCCAAACAGAGCCACATCATCTTTTAATTCCTCTCTGAACCAGCTTAGGTCAGAATTTACTTTGCTTTTCCAGCTCTTGCCTTTCTGAGCGAGACTGTTCAACCAGGAGAGCAATCAGGGCAATCATCTTCTCAAGTGCAGCAGGCCTGTATTTCTCTTCTGCCAAAGAAAGTATATCTTCCTCTTCCTCCTCTTCCTCCCCTTCTTCCTCAGAAAGTACTTCAACCTGTGGCTGAAGGGGAAAGGAAAAGAAAAAAAAGACAACTTCACTGTGGATATTTTGAGCCTTTATTTAAAGAGCCTTTGCACTGATCCTGCTCTTTTATTCCAAGAACTTAATAAACTTGCAGGAATCAAACCAGGTAAATATCAATTGATTTTCATATTGAAACATTCATTTTGCAGAAGCTAAATTGTATTTAGAAAGCATAAGATGGGTTGGCTGAAGATATGGTGGCTTATTTAACAGAAAAAGCAAGTAAGTTTAATAACCTAAGTTGTACAATAGGAGCAAGCAATCATTAACAGCATTACCATTAATAGCATGGTAAGGACAACTTTAATTGCTTCTACTTAATATCTATTTCTATACTAAACAAAACCAGCCAATTCAACATCTTTTTTTAAAATATTATATCACTTAAACACTGAAAAAATGGTATAATTTATGTAATTGAAGCATTGTGTAATTGTAATTGCAGTAATTTTAATTTAACAGCTGAAAGACGGTTCAAGAGACAGAGCACTAATGATCACATGTAAAACATGAAAAACTGGTGCTTCTTATACAAGATATTCCAAACTCACATTTTCAGGTCCTTTAGTTCCCATGTAGAAATGGACCATTGTGGATATGGCTTGGAGTGAAAGCAGGAACTGGCTCTGAAACACACGGGTATGGAATTACTGGATAATCCAGACGGGCACATAGAGAACTAATTCCCCAAAACCCAGGGATACACTCACTTCCTCTTCCCCCATTTTGGCAAATTCATAAAGGAAGGCAAAATATTCCGTGAGGTGTTTGCTGTGGGGCTTCACCCCGTGTTCCATGATGGACAGCAGGGTCTTCACGAAGCGCGTGACGCACGAGCGGCTGCCGATGTCCTCCACGGGGCCGTCCATGTCATCGGAGCTGCAACCAAACCAAGCCCAGCTCAGGCATTTCAGGGATATAGACATGGAGCATAAAGTCATCCTGAACCAGTTCAGAAAACTAAATTCACTAAAAATCTCTGTTTTCTACTCTGCCCCTTTCTCCTCTGCCAGGTAAGAAACCCACGTGTCATTCATCCGCTCTTGGCTGGATCTTATCACTGAACAGAACAAGTCACAGAGGCTTCCAGAGAAAATGAAATGAAATCCTCTCTTTTGTCACAAAAACTGTATCTTCATGTCCTGAGTTTTGATATGGCAGCACAGTTATTGCAGTTATTACTGCCATTTTCTCTCAAAAAGTTATTATCACAATCACAAGCTCAACACAAGAGTAAAAGAAAAACTATTTTCTTCTTATTATTATGTATCAAAAAGCGTATGAGTATTTTGTAATTGGAGATAAAGTGACAGTTTTCTTGAGAGTAAGCAGAACCAAATAGAATCCAAGAGGGTTCTTCCTGCTTTTTGACAAAAACTGTGATTTACTTATAGGACTTGCCTCTCTTCTCCAACCTTCTTTGACTGGATGTGTTAAAATTTAAGTTAAAATTTGCACCTCTGGGCCATCAGATGCAATTTGCAGTAGGATTCTCATGTCTGAGCAAGTGAGATTTACACTTGCAGGGTACTAATGACAGGGAAAATACAGATCCTACTGAAAACCTACTCTAAGAGAATAAATATTCCAAACAATGTCTCTTCAGACAGTTGCTTTTGCAACCCTAATAGTACTTTTAAATAAATCAGAGCAGTTTGGGCAGAATAATAAAGAACAATTAAATTAGCATCATGACTATTCTGAGTAATTCATTAATAAGTAATGCACAGATAATTAGAAGTTTCCAGGTATTGTGTTTTACCAGTCTTCCATTCCTGGCTGGAGATAAAGGTGTGCATGGACTGGCCTCAGCCTCTGGATCACGTGGATACACAAACGCTGGAACATCTGCAAATGGAGAGGGGAATGAACTCCACATGTTCATTCCATTACACACATGTGAAGATGTGTTTTCTAAGCAAAGAATATTCTGTCTCCAAGTCCCACTTCCAGCTCTTCACAGGTTGAGAGATTCAAAGGTAAAGCTGAGACCCCACAGTTCATTTTTGTCGTATTTTAACAGATCAGTCAAACCCGGTTTTTATAAAGAGATCCCACAGAGGAACCTAAAACCAGCTTTTAATATTGGTGTGCACTGTACACTCCTGAAACATGACTTTACACTGCTGCTCATAAATATTGTTTTCTTCTTCTATCTCTATTTTCTGAAAGGTTTTGATATTTTTGGCAAGATTTCTTTTTTTTTTTTTAATTTTCCCTCAGGCTTGTAAGAAAGCTGAAGGAAATTCCTTCCAGTAATTTTTAATCTGTAGAACATTCAGGAGGATTAAAACTTTGCCTAAAGACTTTGCATAGAGTTTTCTCATGAAATATATTCCTTTACTGCTGTGTTACATATAGAACTATGTACGGTTCCATATGGAAACATCACTTTATTAATCAGAAATTCAACTGAAGGATTCAGGTGAGATGAAGTAAATGCTACAGGTTTTACCTTAATAATTTGCAAAGAAAGTAGACTTGTAAGTAACACTATTAATAGTTGTGTTTGTGGATGTCTAAATGCTACTAATACAGTTGGTTTTTTTCAATTTTAAGTAAGTCCAGAAAAGGGTATTAACAAAACTTTGTGGTATAATATTATAAATTTACCACAAAAACCCACTACAGAAGTTTAGAACAGGAACTTTGAGGAGCAGAGTGAATGTACATGGTCTATTCTTTATTTTCTGAATGTGTATCTTGATGAATTATTGCTGAATTCATTCAGAAACAAACATTTTTAATGTAAAGTGTTCAAATTTGTGGAGATTGTGAGGGAGTTGTAGGAACCTTGATTTGCATCTCTGGTGACATTTGTGGTCCCGACTGTGCAGCCACGGCACCACCTTAATATCCATGTTGTTCCAAGCAAAATAACACTCCCATGGCCAAACACATTCCCTAAACCACACTCAAGGATGGAAAAGAACCAGACAATTATGGTATTAAATCTGTGCCCTCAGAATTGTCCCTTTCTGCTCATGGCTCACCTGACCTGGAAAGAACATTTTTTCTTACCTGCCTCACAATCTGATTGGGACACTTTATTAGAATCTGCATTGGCCACCAATCATCATCAGCCATACGATCCAAAAACCACTGCAGAAGATACATACTGTGTTAGTTTTGTTCCCAACTTGCTCTAGTCCAAATCTTCTGTTTGCATGATATTAAAGTCTGAAGAGAAATCGATGTTACTATTATTAAGGAATAGGCAAGTTCTAATCCAAGGGAAATCTAAATGGCTTCTGTGCACAAAGGAATAAAGAAATGAAGATCAAGAGCAGCAAACATCCATATAAATTTCTATGCAGTATCTTCTTAGCCCTGTGTTCTGCATGCCATTAATTATCTGGAAGAACACACACACTTATCCTGAAAAGTGATGTCAACACAATAAAAACAATGCTTCCAATAAAGCACAAGCTGAAGGATTTCGTGGAATTGTGATAGGATTAAACAGCAGTTTCTGAATTAGATCCCTTTTGCATTTATTTTAACATGTGGAAAAGCCTCCCTGTTTCCAGAGACCCAAGAGTTATGAAAAACTAAAAGGGAATGACTCATTCAGAGTCGCACTCAGCAATAACAGAGCTGAGTCTTCTGACTCACAGGGTTGTGGTTTAGTCACAAGGAGAGACAGTTTAAAATAAAGAATTAATGTATTAATGTTCTTACTTTTGTTTTAGTTGCACCTGAGTATTCTTTACTATAGTAAAATATCTTTACTCAAATACCTCAGGACTACACCACACTGAGGCTACCACCACCCAAATGTGGAATGTTACACAACAATTTATCAACCTAGAACTTTTAATAGAATATAATACTTATAATAGAATGATAATTTTAATTCCTTTCTACTGAATAAGGTCTAATGCAAGACACAGTATGTGCTGGGCTGTTTGTACTTTCAAACTATCACAGCAAGTACCACAAACTTTTCTTCACAATCTCAGAATTGCTTTCACCAACACGGGAATTCTTTGCCTGTCTGTGATTTAATTTAAACATATCTTAATTACACAAATCACTATGCAAAAATCAATCAAATAAAGACATTGTGACACTGTCTCTTTTATTCCAGTGACAAAATGATTTTGCCCTGTGGTCTCAACAAAGGTTTCTGCAAATAGAAGTTAAGTCATTCCCCAGAATCTGCAGGAATTAGAGAGGATGAATTTCATCTCATAGTGCACAAATACACCACATACAGCAGTTCATAGTCCAAAATATTCCAGGGATACGAACCTCCAGGAAAGTTAAACAATATATAGAAAGTTGGTTTGTACTTTGCTGAGTTCCTAAGTCACTTACTTCACAAGCTGCCTGACTGTTATTAAACTGTTTTGTTAACAGTTCAATCCACTGAAGCATTGTGGGCTGCAAAAAGAAATACAGAGAAAACTATAACTTCAAAGAATACATTTCAACTTCATCTTTAAACATTTCTAAACGGTTAGGTAGAACAACAAATCTTAAGAATAGAGTTATAAACAATAACTGTTTTATAAATTAGTAATGCATTGCATCTACAGAAAAATACATACATTTTTACCCATACATTTTATTCCATTGTGCAGTGCTTATTATAAATGTGTTAAATGACAGTAATGACTCTTTAAATATTAATTTGCATTGTCTATGCTACTTGTGACAGCTCAATAATCACACTTCTAAAATGAAAAGTACAGAAACACTTTTCACTCTCTATTCATGCAGCTATTTAATAAGAATTTACAAGTAAATAAAATACCTTTTCCTTTGAATGAATAAATGTCTCTAGTACAAAGGAAGTGCTTAACTGGAAAAAAAAATTGCACCATTAATTTAGAATGCAGGAATTAAAAGGCAAACAAGGGAAAGGTTAATATATAAGATGATATAGTTTGGAAATCCTTACCTTTGCTGTCATCAGAGAAACCGCTTTTGGATCTGGTAGTGTGCTTGGGATGCTACTACACAACTGCCACATAAACCTAGAGTCAGTAATTTGATTTGTTAATTAAAATAAATAATGAAAATCTGCAAGAAGAAAAGAAGCATTAATATTACATTTTTAAAGAAAAACTTACCCAAAATATGTATGCTCAAAAATGTTCTTGTCTTGAAGAAACTGCATGTTATCATGCCATATCCACTGAAGAAAAAATGCTAACATCAGATACAAGAAAGCAGTTTATTTCACTACTTAAGTATGATTTTAAGGCTATTTAAATCCTTGCCATGGCTAAAAAAAAAATCAACTTTTTTTTTTTCTTGTGAAAAATTAGTTTTGGAAACATTTTCTTTATTTTAAAAGCTTGGCACAAAGTTGTTTTATTCACCCTATAATGAATATTAGTTTTGCCTGTCATACGACTGCAGAGCAGAGCTTCAAAGCTTCTCCTCTTGCTGTGACCTCATTTTTACAACTTTATTCAGACTTTGAGGCTGAAATTTGGAGAACTGGTCCAAGGTGTTGAAAAAGAATCACAGTTCAACCACAACTGAAGTCGAACCCAAAGCTTGATGAGCTCTGTGCCCTTCCAATAAATTCCTGAAGAGTAAGATTTGACTCTCCCTCATTAACCAGAACAGGATTTCATGTTCCTGTTCCTCTCTCCAAAGTGATTTTTGTGACCAAATCTGTTCATAGTGCTTTTCACATAAAAACGGTTTAAAAGTTCAACTCTGATAAAATCTATTAATATTTTTTAAGACCTAGAAGGATAAAAAGCATCATGTGATTTGTTGGCCAGGGATGAAGAGTCTTTTTAAGTTAAGAACCTGAAATGTGGCAGATGCTAAAGCAATACTTTTGGCCAGGGGGAGCAGGGATATTTTTTATCCAGGTGATAAAAAGGGATATATCCAACATTTAGGATAAAATGAGAAAAAATCTAAATGATAATTTCTTTCCTATCCCATGGTATTGTCCTAAAGAAGACAGTGAAAAGACTGTCATCTTAGAGATTTACATTGCTTTTGCTTTCCCATGTTTATTCAGCTTTCTGATGCGTTTGGGATTTTCAAATTGGGTGTTAAAACAAATCAACTTGTACCTCCAGCAATTCTGATGAAACATCAAATTTGTAGTCTCTGCCATTTTCCTCCTCCGGCTCCATCCGTTTATAAAACAGCATGTAAGCACTGTGTGTCTTGGAGAGAAAAACATCTCTATCATTTTTGCTTTGAGAGATAAATCAGGAGATCAGAAATACAAGCACATGACAAGTGTTTGGAAGAGAAATACCTTTTCAAAGGAGAAGTCCATAAATTTATCAGTAACTGAATCGTAAGTTTTTGTCTGTCAGGAAGAAAGCAAAACCATTAATTATAAGGGCTTTTTAATTGTGATAAATGTGAACTATTTCATGACATTTGCAGAGAGGCTGCTGACAATTTCTTTCTTTCTCAAAGGAGTCTTGTTTCTTTTTTCCTTCTCCAGTGGCCTATCCTGATTTTCCAAAGCTGCTCTGCAATGCTGTGACCTACATCCCAAGCAATTTCCTGTCTCATCCATCTCCTTGACACCTCTTCTTCTTAGGCACCTAAAGGTATTTTAACCTTTTACCAAACTAAATAACTTTTTGATTTATTTCTGCATATTACCTTTGTCAGACAAGAAGTTTTCTTATGCACAGAACTGTGCTAGTAAGATACTGTGTTATTCATTATGTGGTTTCTACCACGATATACAGTTATAAATAATGATCAATTCGAGCATAACCTGAGAACAGTTGAGTGTTACACAGTTATTGGTATTCATACTGTGTAAAAATATTCTATCTGATGTGACACAGAGCATAGACAAAGATCCAAAAGCCCTGTTTTTCCACACCAGGCATAAGCTTGAAGTAATTATTCCTTCCATCCATGGTCTGAGCAAAGCAGCCATCCAAGTGAAAAATTCCTAAATTAGCTGCATACTCACTTTCTTATAACTAAATAGTATGATAAAACCCAGATATAGTAAAGAAATACCTCTTAATTGGAGAGACTTCACTAATTAACTTTGCTTCATTAGTGATATTTATACTACTGTGTATTATATGTACTATTATATGTACTGTATATTACATGTATTATATGTACTATGTAATATATGTACTATTAGTAATACTTATACTACTTATAGTAGTATTACCAATATACTAATTACTACTAATATAGTAATACTATACTACTGTAATACTTATACTGTTACTTATACAGTAGTATACATTTTCCTTTAAAACCCCATAAAAGTACTTGGATTGTAACAGATTGGAACAGATATTTTAAACAGCTGAACATGACAAAAATTCAAGTCACACCTTTATAATACATAAAGTAACTTACGGTCATTTCTCCACCAAAACACTCTGAAGCAAGCTGGGCAGAATCAAAGGGTTTGACTTCAGCATCATTGAAAAGGTACCTGTGAAACAGGGAGCTGTGAAACAACTGCTGCTCATCCCTGAGGGCAAATAAAGCCTCAGGAGCTCTTCAAGTGATCCCTTGAAGTATTCCCATTAATGCCTAACGTCTTGTTGGAATCAGGGCAAATGAAAAACCGAGCCCAAAAGTGATTTCCTTCCAATAAGATGAGAGAAAGTAGTAAAATATTCCTGCTATTCTACAGAACAGGAATAGAGGAAATCCTGTCTCCTATTCCAGGGCCTCAGTGAGCAATGGAAATATCGCATCCAGAAATTACAAGTGGAGGGTGTTCCCTGGAAGACCCTCCTCCTTTCCATGCCCACGTCTCTTCCCTTTCCTGAATTCTACATTCCTAAATGTAGCTGGATCCAAGCAGATTTTATGAAGGACAATCTATGAAATCTTCCTGTTCCTTTGGCCTGGAATGGATTAAAATCTAGGCCCCTCAGGAAGCAGGCCCTGGCTGTGATGTGAGGCCACCCCTGTGTCCAAGGCACTCCACAACTATCCCACCTCCAGCAAATTCATCTGTATGGTAAAAAATTAATACACCCATCAAATGAGTTTTAGTTGTTTTAAAATGAGAAATCACAAAATGCTGGTTTGCAGAGCTCACCATTTGTTGTTTTTGTAGGCATGGGGATTGACTATATCCCTGATAAAGCTGTAGTAGTGCCCCCCATCTGCTGTTCCCGTGTGAACTGTGACACCAATCAGATCATATTCATAACTTTCAGTTTCTTTCAAATATCCACCATCTTCCTTAAAACCTGAAATAATTCAACACAATATTTAAGCAGTTACTTCCTAAACACCCCAACTCCAATATTAGCAACAAACTGCATGTAACTATTTGCAATTTCTCTCATATTTTAAAAACAAATTCAAATTGAACAGTAAACAAAACCAAAAATAATTGGCCGTTTTTCTTACATGAAATACAATGTGTGACTTTGGGAATATTGATTTGATCTCCTTAAAAAGAAAATCATTGTTTGCTTCTGTTCCATGGAAAGTGATACAGAGATAAAAGAGACAAAGCTTGTTGAGTCCATACCTTCCTTCCTGTCATTTTTTCCCATGAGGAAATCTTCAGTGTAAGGAGTCATATCCAAACGTAAAGGGAATGAAAAGTGTGTGTTGACTTTCTCCTTCATCATGGTCACCATATTAAATGTGTATCTCATGGTGTTGAAGCTTAAGATACGAGGTAGTTTCTTAAAACATGCCCTGAAGGATCAGAAATAATCAGGACTTACAAAAGCTTAGCAGGGCGAACTGGATTTTCACAGAGATTTTAAACATTTATTTCAACTATAATATTGGAGATCTGCTGCTAAATAAATAAATAAAAATGTGTCACATAAATATAAAATTCAGCTCTCACAATGCCCCAGAGCAGGGCAGACTAACTGGCAGCAGAAAGGTCAAATTTAGCTCATTGAAAAATTCAATTTAGGTTCTCACTGTACTTTGGAAGAGATGTCAAATTTACTCGTATGGCACGAACAGTAATTTTCTAAAATGAGCCGTGAATGAATTTAACAATGAAATCCCCTCACTGCAGGGAGGTACTGTCTTCTAAAATAAAAGTTTCAAAGCAGAACATCTCTTGTATTAAATCTCATAAGCTTTACAATAATGATTTTCAACTTACTCTTTCACCCATGTAATTTAACAAAAACCTATGAGCTTTTCCAACTCAAAATTTATTAGTTTATTCAGACAACATAAAATTTTAATTTACTTTCTCTTTATCAGCAGACATAGAAACATTTTTAAAGCTAATTTTAATTAAGCAACTTGAGGTGATGTATAAAACCCAAGCAATTATCCTGCATAATGAGCAACCAAAGTACTGAACAACCTCTGAAAGAATTCAATATTTTAAAAACAGAAGAACTAATGTTTCAAAAAGGTAGTAATTTCTACTTTCTTTTTTTTTTTTAATTAAAAAAGGTCATGAACATTTTCCTGCCTAGGTGTAATCTTTTGCTAAGATACCCTAGATTCTTTCTTTTGGAATTTGATCTCCTGGTTCCCTTCTGATTTGCACAGGGATCACATCCCTATAGGACTACACAGTAGAAAATGAAAGAGCAGCCCTGTTTCACCTTAAGGATTACTCTTATTCCAACAGTAATTTCAGTAATTCACTAAGAAGATCCCTTAGGAATGTTTATTTATTTTTAATCATACCTTTTTTCAGCCCTCACTTTCTTGCCACAGTGAGAACACGTGTACATGTTGTCACCTTCCAAAGTATCCTTAATAGTTACTTCATCAAGAGATTCCTAAATATAATAATAATAAAAAAAGGAGTTTACATTCATTTTGGATCTTTATATCTCTGGCCTGCCTTCCAAGCCCCTGCCTTTCAATCTCAAAGTAAGTTTAATTAACATTTCCATTTGGTCAAAGGCACCAAAAGGTTTTCAAGACAGAGTACACACCTGAACTAAGAGAAGAGTCTGACAGGAAAACCACTTCCTAACCCACACACAAAATTAAGGAACCAATTCAGACAAATGGTACTCAGTATTCCAAGCTGTCTCAAAGAGTTCAAGCCCTTTAAATTCAAATTCCAAGCGTGGGGATTAATGGTTGTTTAAAAAGCTTGAAAATGTAGAATTATGCTGGTGTAAGCTTTAAATTTACTTAATAAGCAACTGTGCTGGTATATGTTGAATCTTTTGACATTTATAGTTCTCACATAAAAATGGCCACATTTTAAAACACAGAAATAGGTAGTTTAAAACACAGAAATAAGTAGTGATTATTGACTGTAACAAAATCTTTAGTCAATGCCAAATGGGCCCAGCTGAGAGCACATTGCATTGAAACCAAATTACCTCATAATATCAACCTAGAAACAAGCCAAAATTTGAGAGCAGATACAGAAAGCATCAAGATATTCAACAGTGTGTGGGGCACTGTTTAGGCTTGACATCTATAATTTATGGTTGTGATCTACAGACACATCTCAGCCTGGTATTACTCACATAAATATTCTTCATATCTGCCACCTGGCACCTTACAGTGTAGAACTCCTCAGCTGTCTGACTGACATGCTCACAGTCCTAAATCACAGCAGTGGAAGAGAAAAGCAATGAAATAACTGTTTGGACAAGTTAGGAAAAAATAGGCTTTAAAAGCTAAGGCCAGAGAAGGAACACTTACCAAAGAAACAACATTGTTTGTGATAACACCTCCAAACAAACTTTTCACTGTATTTTTCTGTGAATGAATTAATAAATTCTGTCAAGGAATTTTGAGCAAATCTGTAAGTTTTCAAGCTCCCTTTTGCTCCCTCTTAATAACTCACCAGTTCTGGAGACATTTCTTCTATTTTTGTGATCAGGTCAGTGAAGAATTCAGTCATATCCTTCTGCTCCCCAGTGTTCAGGGGCTGCTTATCCATGGTATAGGTTTTACAGAAAGGTCTTGGGTTGTATGCCTTACATTCACTTTCCTTGAGGTAAAAGATATCAAGCAAAACCAAATCAACACAAATCCTTTTTATTTGAAGTTACACAGACATATCTGTTTAAAAAAGAACATGTTTTATACACAATATCTCCACATGCTTATTAACACAGTTGTTTAAGTGCTAAATGCTCCTACGAAATGCAAACCAATTTTTAACTGATTGATGATTCTTATTATATTATTAAAATATCATTGGGAGAAAAGTGTAAAATAACACTTAATAAATATAAAAATGAATCATTAAAATAAAACTCCTTGACTGAAGATGTGACACATCCAGTTGCTGCAGATCTTTTCAGATACAAAATACAAGGAATATCAGCTTGTATTTATGTATTTCTGGACACTGCTGACTTAAATCTTATCAAGGGCTCAATCCTCATTCAGACTCCTCTATGTTACCAGCTAGTTCCCAACTGGATGTGTTTAGCCAGAGAAAAGAATTTGCAGTATAAAGCAATTCTTTAGAATCCCTTTTCCACTGCCTTGCACACTGGGAATGCACAGCAATGTACAGCACAAGGAACTTTGTGGCAAACAATATATACAGACTTTTAAGGATGTGTAGCAAGACTACTTCCTGTAAATACTGCCTGGTTTGGAATAGTCTTTCTTCAAGATGTAAAGAATAGTAAATCTCTGGATGATTTATGTTCCTATATTATTTTCTGCTTATGTAAATACCTGGATTTAATTTTTTTTCTATGATTCACGGCAGGCATTACACGTCAAAATTCCTTCCCCCTACTTGTCTTCAAAGTGGTTAGGAATTTCTTACACAAATGTCACTGTCAAGCTCTCCTCAGTTGTCTTTTTTCATTATTTCAGACTTGTTTCACTATTTTTCCAGCAGTGAACACCTGTGAACTGCCTTTATTATGTTTGATTCTGGAATCCCAAATTTTAGCTGCTTTTTAATGCTTCATTTCAACAGAATAATCTTTCAAATACCCTCTTTCATACCTACCATTAAGTATGTAAACATTTTCTGGAGTTCTAGGAGAGTGGTCTTGTGTTTCATATCTTCTGAATACTGAAAGAAATGAATAAAAGAAGACTTTATCTTTTTGCTTATAACTTCCCAAAACCAGACATTAAAAAGATGTAACAACCAAATAAAAAAACCAACCACTTTATTACAGGTAATTAAGAAAAATGATTGTGTACAAGAACACAGAGTCTACCATCTTAAACTTATATTTTTTAGACTTATTTTTAAGTCTAAAATGAAAACCTAATTAAACCTAATATTTCTCACATTATATATGTGAGGGACCAAAATGAAGCTTTCTCTTTACAAGAAATAACAAAGTAATAATATTGTATTTCTAGAAGTTAACCAGTGTATAGTAATTTACAGGACCTGCTGTACTTCTGGTGGCACAAGATATATATTTTGGGATTTTATGAACGTTCAAGAAGAATGACATTTGTTTTAAGAAAATGACAAACTGGGAGTTGAGAAACAACAGACAATTCTCACAAACCCAAACTGGAATGGATCCAGATGAGAGCAACAGAAAAAGGAGTTTGAGGACATGTTTTATTTCAATGCCACCTTAAGAAAATATCACGTTACAACCATATTCAAGAGAAAACCTCTTCACTTTAGACACCATCCATCCACCCAAGGAACACAGGAGCCCCACAGGTACCTTTGCAGTGAAAATTGCTTGTCTGGCCTCTGGAATCATGTAGAGCTGCTGGATGGTGGAGGCCAAGTAACACGTTGCTCCAAGATTAGTTAAACCCACAAACCGACACTCGGCACGAACGTCATCGTGTGGCCAATAATCCCATTTGTAGGGGGCATGGGAAGCTGGAGCAACACAAGCAGGAAAACAAAAATCAATTCAAAGTGCAATTTACATAAATATAAATGCAATTTTATGAAAGCTTTATGTTCACACTAATAAAAATGTCTGGTTCTGCACTGTACATTTACAGGCACGAGCCAGACCGTGCCTGATCTTTAGGAAAATGCACTGTAGGAACTTCAGGAAAATCACTTTCTGCTGGAAGGATCTGCTGTGTTTTCCAAAGCACATCAAGAAGTGAATCAGATTGAAAAGGACATTTGCTTTTCCTGTAAGTGTTCTATTCCTCTGTATTTCCTACCAGGCACAGCAATGCATTCCTTACACGGGCAGGCACCAGACAAGCTCGACAAGTCTGACAGACTCTGTTAATAAGCCAAGAAACCAGAAAATGGGAATGTTCTCCTCATCTGCCAGTCAAGAAGATCGGAACCAGACTAGATAAACCATTTGTAAGTGATTAGTGCTGCTCCCAGACACTGTCAGGCTTCTCCTTCCAGCATCCCACACAGGAGAATGGAGGGGGGAATTAACTGTTTGAGCTGCAGAGGCAACTCATGACACAAGCACTAAACGAGAGGAACCAACCCAGTGTCCAAAGGAATTCACTGGAGTTTATCTTCCTTAGTATGCCACAAGTTGGACACAAAAGCTTGCAATGCTCCAGCTTTGTTATTCATCCCCAAAGATACCATTCTCCATAAACAGTGTGTCCCACAAATAATTCAGAACCTCTACTGAAGTGCATGTTCAGATAGAGAAAAAAGAATTTCCAAAAAAGCAGACTGGATTTATGGTACAATCCATAAAAGCTGTGTGGGTTCAAGATTGAAATTTTAAATCCTTAATTATTCTGTCATAGATTAAAGGCTCCTTAAGGATTCTTCTCAATTCATACCACCAGAGAGAAATTCAGGAAACTCTTTGGCATCCTCTCAGCAGATCCTCACTCCTGCAGAGACCAGATCCACAAGATGTTCTGTTGCACAACAAAGAATAGTTGTGCCCTTCATTTTGGCGTTGGCATCAAAGCAACCATTAGCCCTGAAGCTTCAAGGAGGGAAGGAAAGAGTTTTAAATTCTCCTGTTTCAACAAATCTCAGCAGTGTGACCTCAGGTTACCTGCTTCCACGGGCTGGTTGGCCAGTTGGAACAAAGCTCCCCTCCGTGTTTAACCTCCTGAAGAAGGTCATTAGCAAGGCAGAATAACACAAGATTCCCTCCCTGAACTGCAATCCCTAAATTACAACATCCTAATTCACCCTTTCTGATGTGAGGGCTCAGCCTCCATCACTCTGCTCAGAGCTCATCAAGCTTTAAGTGCAGAGAAATCACTGGAGTTCTTTGTACTCCGTGAGAACAGCTGGGAGCATCTTCCACCTCCTTCAATCCAGCAAACAGCATCCAGAAATTTGACATGGAATTTCTCAGCAAGATCCTGTTTTCTCCACCCTGGCATTTTTTAAAGTGTCTGTCTTCATTTGCATAATAGAAGTTTTCCTCCTTCCATATGGATCTTAACTAGAAAGGTAAATTTGAGGTTCATTTCTGTCTATCTTCTTTATTCCTTGCTGTTGTTATAGAAACCAGCCTTTTCTCAGGAAGAGACGGGGAAACTTGAAACCAAACTTGCAATATTCATGTTCTATTTTAAGCAAAGTAAAGCTGACTCTTTCCTCTTCGAATGACTGTGATTTTTCTCTATATTCCACCTTGTGATGATGTTTTTGCTCCAACCATAACACACCACACAGGATCTTAAGTTTCTCTGGAAGCAAAGCAGCTGCTTCTTGTTTCCCTCCTTTGACCTGAATGGTTTTATTAGTCTTTAAAGAAGGTGAAACTCCAAAACACTGCAAGAAATTTTATGAACAACTGAGGGGACTAAATCCAATCCTCAGTAATATCAGAGCCTGCATGAACTCCCAGTTAATAAAATATGTTAAAATCTGAAGACAGGATGGAAATTTATAATATTTTCTTTAATGTTTCTCCTAAGGAGAATGGAGAGACAGGCCTAAGACTAAGATTTTTTAAGACAAGGATTACAGAGATAAGCAAAGTGGAAAAATCCAGTTTTAAGACTCTTTGGATCACAGCAATGGAATAACAAGCCTTTAAAGAAATGAGGTATCACAAGTGCTGTGTTGGTTCCTCGTCACAAAGAGAGAAGAGCTCTCTGCCAGTTGTAATAAAATTAACATCCCTGCAATGAGATATTCTGGATATGGAGCAGGAGCACAGAGCAGATGGTTCTGGAGAACTCAGGAAGGAGCAAACAATCCAGAGAAGAGATTAGGAAGAAGGTAACAACTGTGGTAAATGTTAAAGAAAACTTCAGCACTGAGGAATTAGAGGGATTTGGAGGAAAATGCTAATTGTAAAAAATGAATGACTGCACTGGAGAGATACAATGACCTCAGATAATGTGCCCACAGCAAACAGAAATATACAGTATTTTCACTAAATATATTCTTCATAATATTTCCTCATCTGCTAGTCAAGAAGATGGGAACCAGACTAGACAAGCCATTTGTAAGTGATTAGTGCTACTCACTAAGTGTCCTGTGACACTTTGGAAGGTCCCAGGCATTTGAAAACAGAACATAAAACATTATTAAGGTCAAATTTACCTTTTGCTTCCCATATTGTAAGGCACTAAATCAATTCCACAGATACATTACAAATCCTCAGGTTACAAGGATTTAACCTGGGCACGTGAAAGGAAACCTGGCAAGCTAAAAACTCACAATGAGAATTTGCAAATCAAAGATAAAATATTAAATAACTTCAGATTTTGGTCATTTCCATGTTATACATGGAACTGTGGTTCCAAAGACACAATAAGTATGGAAGCCAAGAGGCAAAACAAAATTGTATTAGTTCTGTGTGCTGGGTAAAGGCAATGATATCAGAGACTCTGAAAACATGACAGTGCTGCTCAGAGCTAAAACATCTACCTCAGTGTTGTTTATGTACTTTTAGGTATAAATATACCATGTTTCTTCATGTTAATAAGGGAAAACAGAAACTAAAATCCAGCACAAGTTGAAGAAACATGTAAAATCCGCTCTAACAGTGCTGTCCTTGTGTTGGTGTCATTTAACAGGGCCCCCTTAAGGTATAAATTTATACCTTAAATAACCCACAGTTAAGAACAGAACTGATAATTATACACAGGATTAAATCCCCTGCTTGTCTAGGTGAGCAAAAGATGCCAAGACCTGCTCTGTGCCACTGCCCTGAGTGACGGGGGACATGAAGTGCAGTTCAGGAGCAGTGGCCACACAACCCTGCCCAGCTGGAGTGAGGGAAGGTCCTTACACTGCATGTGCTGGGCCATGACCCAGTTGTGGAGCAGCCTGTAGTTCTCCACGGAGCCCTTCACCATTTCCACCAGCAGGTCATAGGCAGCAGCCCTGGAGGAGTGGGATTTGCACTTGGGCTGCTGCCTGTCCTTCAGGCTGGGCAGCAGGAACAGCAGATTGAAGATGTCCCTCAGGAACTCCTGTGAAATAGGGAAATGGGCACATTTAGCAGCTTTGAAGGTATTCTTAAAACATAAATCATATATTTACAAGCTTCTAGTCTAAAGATCTTCTAGACTTCTATCATAAAGAACTTTCCAACCTGAATGCAAGTTCTGAATTACCAATTCCAACAACTTATTCCACATAAAGTGCACTGTAACCATATTACAGCCTAAAGAGAAACATGTCCATTGAAAAAGAATGACAAGTTATCCTTGATTTATTTAATAAATTTAATTTGATAATCTAATTTGACATACCAGACATATGTATTTTTAGCAACTTTAAGACTAGTCTTTCCCATGGACAAACAGAACATAACCTTAATCTCTACTTACTGGAGTTCCATGGATCACTAATTAATCTAACAAAACATACCATGTGTACTTTTGGTATATTTTGTACTGTTTCATGTTTGGAAGATTAACTGAGTTATAAAATGTACAAAGCATAGCTGTACCAAGTCAAGTTGCCTTTGGGTAATAAATACATATTACTGTTATTTATCTTTACCATCCCAGATAATACACCAAAAAAATGAGATGGATTTGTCTAAACATCAGCACCTTCTTTCTATATAGATAATTAAAATAAAGACAAAAGTAAAATATCAAAAGGATAACAAAAAAAAGGGCCAGAATTCTTCCCCCATTTGTAGAACACAACCTACAAATCCAGCTATTACATCTCATTCTACAATTTGTACACTGATATTAAAAAAAAAAAGTTCATCCTGAAATTCTCCATTCAGGTGCATTCAGTTAAAACCCCCTTTCAATGTTTAAAATCTAACTTAATTATAAATATTGCAAGAAATGGCCTTCTGCAGACTACACAACAAAATCACCATAAACCTCCTTGTTCCAGTGTGCAGGGAAACCCCTACAACCTTAATACAGTGCAGAGTAAGATGGGCAGTGATCAGGTATAAAACACAAAATGTCACCTGCAAAGTTGGAAAATATTTGCTCAACAACAATTTTGTTTACTTAGTCAGAGAAGGAATCTGTAGTGAAGAAAAGGCCCAGCTAAGCATGGATTTGCCAGTGGATTTTCCTGGATAGTTTTTCACCAGCCTTTGCTCAGAGGGAAGCATCTGGTTTCACAATCCTGTTCTACTGCACTGGACACAACACAAAACTCTTCCCTACTGCACTTTCTACTGTGTGTTCTTAACTGTACACAAAATTCTTCTTATACTTTCTATATATCCAAGCTACATTAATCTGACCTTTCCACACCTCTACTATTTTAATTTCTCCATTCTCCTCCACACTGCACTCTGTGAACTGAATTCTTACTCTGATTTAATCTGCCAGATCTCCACACTTAATATACACTTATTCCAGGAGAATTAGAGCAGCAGCCTTTTAAAATGCTCAGTGATGCCACTTTATGTCAGGTAGTGCACCATATGGACACTATTAAAACTTTTGGATAATCAAATTACCTTCAGGGACATTTAACAAAGTAAACAGAGAGGATACAAACACCATAATTGGACACAGGGCCCTACTTTTCTGCTGAAACCTCACTGAAGGCTCAATAATAAGCTCAGTATGCTCTACAGAAAAAACATCAGTTTAAAATCAGCTTTTACCCCACAGAATTTGATTTTTTGTCTTTAGACAAACATAAAGCAGAATTTGTTAGCAACCTCCCCTCCCACTCTGCCATCTTACATGAAGAACATACTAGAAACAAAATACACTTTCAGCTATTGAGCTCTGCAAACAAAATGTCGTAAAAAAGGTGAAATGAAGAGTGTGTAGCAACAAAAGATGACACCATTTTGATCTCTTAGTGGCCTTTTCTTACCTGGCCTTCCCGAGAAAATTTAAAGGGTGGTTTGTGCTTAATAACACTCGTTGCAAGACGGAGCAGCCCCGTGAGCCCATCGTCTTCTATGTTCCCATCCTGATGGTCAAGGATTTCTCTGCTGCACAGGTACACAGGGAGAGAAAAACTGTCACCACTCTGCCCCACCAACAATAAATACAATGCAAATTCCACGTGAAATCACTGGAGCAAAGCTCACCTCCGAATGCAGTCAGCAAGGTGTCTCGCTAGTGCATCTAAATCAAGTAGTGTTGTCTGATTAAAAATAAAGAAAATGGAATATAAATGGAGAATAATCATATACCCCATCAATTACAATGTATAAGCCTAGCCTGAAACTGTGGTTATGCTTTTGGATGAAATTTTGTTATTGAACACAGCAAAACAGGGACAATTAAAACTTGTTTTCAAACATGCTCTGATTTCTAACCCGAGCTAAGTGCCTGTTAACTGTATTTTTTAGCTCTTTCAGCTTGATTAGCTCCTCTTTTTTAGCACTGGAATTATCAACAGTGAATCTCACAGAAAATTACAGTACTGACATGTGTGTGACCTTCAACTAAGTTCTTTGTGCATCACAACCATTCCCCCTTCTTGACTCTATAGGTTCATTATCTGAAGCTTCCAAGAGCTCCTAAACACACATCAGAGTAGGGAAAGGTGGGAGATGGGAAAGATCCAAGACCTGTTCACAGTAGTTCATTGTATCTTAATTAAAAACATCTCACACTGAAGAAAAAGTGGCCTGAAACCCCAAATTTAAAGAAGCAATTTAAACACAAAGCAAACCCACCTGACTTGCATCTTTGACATGGATGTTATCAATCAGTTTGCACAGCAGCCAAAAATATTCCTTACAGCCTGGTCTCAGCACTGTTTCTTCCTCATAATCCTCTATCTGTGAAAAGAAATTGCTTTTGTTCTGAAGCACATCAGACCAAATAACTGGATTACAAAACCACACTGAATCCAGGAACTGCTACAAGAATATTACTTTCTTCAAGCCTCTATCTAAGGTAAGTACAACAGATCTTACAACAGTAACAGTGTGTGCTCTATTTTTCTTTTGCAATACTTATTAATTTTCTTGGAATTTTCCTGAAATCTGTTAAAAATTTGTAGAATACTGCTGACCTGATCCTACCCACTGCAAACTGCAAAAATATTCAGTGTTAGACCGGACAAAACACGAGAAACTCTGGCTGATTTCAACATTAGGCACAACTCTAATTTTAATCCCTTTTGATAATGAGAAAAAATACTGTGAAATTGTAATTTCTTAAATTCTTACCCTAATGGGTTTCAGAGCTTGAGCATCAGGGAGAAATTTTAACAATGTTGATGCAGCCAGGAGGAGAAAGGACCTATTGATGGAGTCTCCCCCATCCAGCCCAGACAGAGACAACTTGTACAACCCATTGCAGGACTCGTGGCGAACTGCAGTCTGGGGGAAAATGAACAAAATTAAAGGATTACACACATTATTTGGAGTATTTCTCCTTTTATTGGCTTTTCTTTCATAGGTACACAAGTTCTTCTCATCATATCTATCAGGTTGTCAAGGCAGAACATGCCTTTCTAAAAGGAGGTGTTCCAAATAATGTACATTAAAGTTACTTACAGAAAAATGCAAAAGATACAATCCTCATTTATAAAGATTTGTCTGTGCCCCGTGTCTATAATGTACTTTAAATGTATTTTAAATGTATTTTAAAGATTGCAGCCAGGGACTAAAATAGAAAATACCACATCTGGGCAAATAACATGTGGAATTAGACTTACTCATTCCTAACTACATGGTTCATTTGTTTAATTTCACTAGAAGAATTATTTTATTAAGAAAAATAGCCTAACTCTAATCCAGCTTTGGAAGTTTGCACTCTCTCATTTCCAGGGATTTTAAATGGAGTCAGCATGGAAGCTTTTCCTCTGCTTGAGTAATAAAGCAATGATAAATAATAAAGCAAAAGATAAGAATTATCAAATTATCACATCCTGTGGTAATTCATTTGGCACCATTAAGCAGTCATTAGTAAATACATCAATTTTGTAGTGTGAATATCTTGATGCATTTTCCAAGCTTTGACTACATGAGAAAAAAATTACTTAAAGCCAGGCAAAGATTTGTTTATGACAAAGATTTTTGTGTCAATTCTTGTTCACCTCATTTTGTGCTTCTGAGCCCAGCAAAATAAGTAATATTAAAAATATATTAATAATGTAAAAAATAAAATGGGGGGAGTTACATTTACACTCATCTATGTTAGGTGGTATCACCCAGAAATTTCAACAAATTACAATGAAAAAATGACCTTCCAACAGGGCCTCTCCTCTGCCATACCTCTGGGATGAGAAGGGTGAGTTTCTTGAGCCAGTCCTGCAAGTGGTCACTGTCAGCCAGACTGGATTTCACCAGGGAACAGCAGTGGGCCCAGCTCACCAGGAGCCACATGGAATAATGAGTGACTGGAAGAAAAAGGAGATAAATGCCACTGCAATCAACAGAACAGGTGAAGAGTTGCATCGTTCCAGCACACAGGACATTTCTTTCATACTAAGGTGCAAGACTAAATCCTTTTTGGCACATAAGGTATGACCTAAATGCAGGTTTTTACCAATATGCTTATTAAATACTGACCACTGCACTGCTGATGACCAATAAATTAAATATTATCAATTCAGGGCACAATCCTCTCCTGCACTTCTACTTCTTAACCAGTGAAATCAGGCAGTGAGTTGATGCTTCATGTCTTAACATGAACATTTCCTGGATTATCACACTTTTATAGCATTCTAATGGTAGCAATAAATCAAAACCATAAGTTGTTCTCATCAGTAGTTTTCCCTACTGTTAGTTCATGACATGTTTTGCAGCACTAACCTTCATGCCTTGATCTGTGATCAGACTGAGCTTTCAACACCCTGAACGGGAAGAAGATAAAGCCATTTGAACTTTATCACAGAACAGATCAACACTTAAAAATACAAGTACACACAAATAACAACACAGTAACTCCTAAGTAACCTTGAGGAAAACTACACTTTCAATCTTAAAAGGAAAACTGAACTGTTAATCTTAAAAGGATTCATTTCTGGCAGTATTCAAAACTAGTAACAATAATAGAACTACAAAAATCTTCAAGTCACCCCCTTAAAGATTTACTGGCTACAAGATTAACAGGCAAGAAAAATTACCCACAACCCCTTTATTTTATCCAAAAAAAGAGTGCTAAGAACTGACTCATATAGAAGAAATCTTGTATTCTTCATAAAGAAACCACACTTTGAACAAACAGCTTAAGTATTTCTATTTACTTACATTTTTATTAATTGCAATAAAAGGTTATATACTTAAAATTACTCCTGCAAATTATTCAGCTAGACGTCAAAGTCAGGCACACTTGCAGACTTGACTGGAAATGCTCTGAATGTCCTCATTGATTTTACAAAAATATGGTAAAACACATTATCCATGACTTGGATTAAAGTAATTCTAGAACAGCAATGTAGCAGAACCCTGAGCTCCCCAGATCAGTCTGACTGTCACCACCCAGTCTTACACAGAATTGCTTTTCTCAGGACAAAAAGGCAGCAGGACCAAAACCTCTGACAGGTAAAATTTTGCCTTCAGTACCTGCACACTCACTAAAACAATAATTCCAGCAGGAATGGCAAAAATAAGTCAAAAGCAGCAGACGACTGAGCAGCACAAAACTGAATTTATTTTAATTTCTCCTTTCCACCGCCTTGCAATTGAGAATGCTGATTGCTCTGGAGAGAAGAAAATCAATCATTTTGGCAGGAGAATTTCTGAGAGCACGTCACAGACAGTTCATTGCTCCATTCCTTATGCCCTGAGCATGGAATTCTCCCACTCCTATACAAGGGCGGGACAAGCACAGGGAGGTGACTAAGAAAAGCAAGTCTACTCCTAGAGACTTTAAATTTCTGATCAATTCATGGGGAATACAAGTGAAAGAGCTCTTTTTATCTAAAGCAGGGCTGACAATGTGCACACTTGATTAGCTTTAGTACAAAAATAAGAAGATAATTGTACCTAGGTGCCAAGTTGTCATATGTATAAGCAACTGACATCAGTCGCTGAATCAAACTGGTTCCCTGGACAAGTACAAGAAACACCTTTAAAAATTGAAGTCAAAAGAAAAAAAAAAACAAAAAAACAAGTTAATATAACAACAAGCTTTTTTTTTTAATCTGTTTTTTTTTTTTTTTAATTATACACAGCGTGTGAATCTAAAAACAAACCCACCTGTGTAGAGGGAGGAAGAGCCAAAGAGAAATCACAGCATCTCCACAGTTAATTTACTGGTTTTATTAAAGCCCATCTAAAATCTTGTGTTTCATTGACTAGGTCTAGATGCTAAAATTTCATGCTGTTCCTCTAAGAAAGACAATTCAACTGAACAGAAAAATCAACCATTTATTCAATCCTTTTAGTAAAAACATTGGATTTTTTTTTAAAGCATAAACTCCTCACTTTCTTGTAAAACTCTTAGGCTTGAGATGAGGTTGGACACATAAATTTTGCCCATCTCAGTGATCAACACATTTTATTGAGTCTACGTTCACTTAATTATTCATCTTTAGAGATCCTGACAGGTTACCCAGAATTTTAAAATCCAAGCCTGAAGAAAATCTTTAAACACCTAAATATCAACCCCACTGCCATCAGAAATATGAATCAATTGACAGTTAAAAATTTAGAACCAGCTACAGAAACCAACAGCACCAATGCTAAAAAAATTAATCCATTTGATAATTTCCCTGTCTGACAGTAGTTTTGGTGATGTAGGGATTTGTTTGGTCAAAAATGGCTAATACTTATAGAACAGTTAAAGTCTTTCCACGTGGAACAATGACAAATGGGAAGTTTGGCTCCAGCTCCAAGTTCACATCTACACTTCCTGGAATCACAGCTGCTCCTGTGCCCAAGAAAATCTATTTACAGGGAATGTATATCTCTGATGCCAAAATATTACATATGCTTGGGCTGCTTTAGGAAATCAGCATGCAGGAATCTGGCAGGAAGGTTTATGGGTCACCACACACTCACTCAGATATCCCTGGTAAAGTAAGTTATTTTAGGGTTTCCTAAAGGAATCTAAAGTGGATTTAGAGAGGATGGGGACAGCTCATGTTATAACAGGTTATCATAAAAGAGGACTAATCAATTTAGAAAACAAAACCTAAAAATTAGGGACAAAGCCCTGGAATTCTGAGTTCCCAATTCATGTGCTCACCAGTGACCAAAAATCCCTTTGGTTGCCCAGGTTTAAGGCAACGAAAGTACTTTTTAGAGGAGAACGAGCAGGATATCAATTAATATTAGTCACTTTTCCACTACATTATTTTATTTATCCACACAGCAAAGGACTTTTGCTGAAGCTCACGAGGTCTGGGCTTCTCTCACCTCTGTCAGACGAGGGATGTGAAGGCCCTTCACGTGGTCACTCGTGGTCTTCCTGGACTTGCCCGGCCACGTTCTCTTCCTGTGACTCTCTGCCACCCCAGACCAGGCAAACACATCATGGTAAGCCAAGTCCAGGTCTGAAGGATCCACTGCAAACTGGCAGATGAGCTTCAGTAAGCAGGCAAGGCAGTCCAGCTGCCACTGGGAAGGAGAAGGAAAAGGAATTTTCATTTGTGAGGGATTTATTGGGCAAATAATTCGGTGCCCGCTGAAATGCTCGGAAAAAAAGCTTAAGCAAGGTATAAACTTGTAGTTAGCTCAAACTAATAACAGAATAATAATGAAAAGGATATATAATAACCATTAATAATCATGTTCATTACTGAAAAGTGTCTTTATTACACCACAGCCACAGTGCTAAATGTCTGCAAGGCAAAATGGTATTTCTTGGCCTCTCCAGAAGGAAAGATAATAAACAGATCACAGCTTTTAACACTGACTACAGTAAACAAGCTTCCAAATAACAATCTGCCCTAAGATAAGCAGAATAAAAAGGCAAAAATACTCTGCTCTTGCTTGGCTACTTCTGACTTCTTAAACAGTATTATCAATGCAGTTGTAATCACTGTAAGACAGAACCCAGGTTTTTTTCCTCTAGATTCCATGACCTACAATTTTATGTTCTACAATTTTAAGAAGGGAGAAAAAAAACAACCCCAAGAAACCAAAACAAAACACATAGAAAAATACAAAGGGTGCTTTTAAAATGTAAAAAACCCCAAAGGATGTTTTTAAAATGTAAAAAACCCCAGAAGTATAATTTACTTTTTAAAGTCAACTCTTCCAGAAATATAAAATATTCAAGAAAACGATGCAACAGCAGAGACTCTGGTGGTACAATTACAGAATTATCTATTTCATTTACAACAGAGAAGTAAATGTAACAAAGGCTCAAAGTAATAAAAGTCTTTACAAATGGCATTATGTTATTCTGGAGGAAAAGGGTGAATGAGCACCTACCACAGTCCATGATTCCTGTTCTTTAGGCTCTAAGATTCCAGAATTGAAAATTTCCAGTAACTGTTGGAGCCCTCCAGCAGCAACAAACTGTAAGGATATTATGGAACCAAAGTGAGAAAAAGCAGATACAAAAATATCACTAAGTTCATTTATATACCCATCTAAGCTTTATAGATTAATAAACAAATGATAAAACTATTCAGCTGGATATTTTATGAAAACAATTAAATGGTTGTACATGACTATGACAAATTTACAGGCCTGATAACTCAGAAAAACTTTGAAATGACATGCCTAAATTTGAGATCCAAAACTCTAAGATAGATAATGTTTGAAATGGGTTTTCATCTTATGTTTTCCTCAAGAAACTGTATCACAGAATAACACAGAAGAATCAAACCTTGCAGCTCCACGTGTTTTTACTATTTTCTATTTGATCTTCACTTGAATCATCTGAGTCTGGGTAAAGATCACTGTAACTTCCCTAAAGATAAAGAACAACAATTAAATGTAAAACCAGAACTAAAATACTATAAAATAACTCATCAATAGATGTTTTGGTTCTGAGAAACACAAATATTCTGTGCAAGAAACTCACTGTAGATTCACGTCTTATTCTCCTGTTGGGCTTTCCCAAAGCTTCAATGATTTCCAGGGCATACAGAAGTTTATGGGCACTTTTTATCCTCAAAAGATCCTTCCAGCTAAAGCCATCATTACCCTTAGAAGATAAAAAAAAAGAGAGAAAACAATTAAAACAATTACATGTAATGCTCATCTATCTAAAAAATGCAGGCAGAGGGTTTTTCATGTGATTTCAAAGGAGAGGAAGGCAAATGTGATAGTCTTAAAGTATAACTTCCACCCAAATTTTGATGCTTTTGTGCATGAAGAGCTGCAGTATCTAAAATCTGTTAGTATGTGATTTCAACCACTTTTAAAGAGGCCAAATTTTCATCTGTAGGACAAGAAAGCAAAGAGGCTTCCAATCAAACCAAGCTGGGAATTTAGAGAAGAGAGTACAAAAGTAACACTATCACAACAGTTTGTGTTAGAGCAAAGCTGCAGATCAAGAAACTGCTTTTTTGATTCAAGCCAAAAAAAAAAATCATAAAAACAAACTTTGGGGGCTAAGCTGACATCTCTGGTTAGTTTAATTTTATAAGAATTATTAGGTTTGTTTACTAGGTTTACTTGTGTCCTGGCACACTTAACATATTTACTATTTAACACTCCTATTTGGGGCAAATTCAGCTAAAACACCAGATGCTAAAACATCCATGGATAACAAAGATAAACATGTCAAATTTTGTTCACCTGCTCATCTGAAATGTTCTGGAATGCCTGCAACATATTAGGGCACGTTGGTAGGAGCATTAACAGTTCCCAGACACGCCTGGATAAGTTTTCAGCGTGGAGATGGAGCTCTTCACACCTTGCACTCTGACAAACCACACAACAACCATTGGCATGGTGAACTTCTTTGAGAAAATAACATTTCAAAGGCCACAAATGTATTTATTCTCAATTAAGAAGCTGTTTCCTATCTAAGTCCATAACTAGAACGTGATAGTCCAAGACTCACTGAACCTGTAAGAAACTAAGTTACATGCATGTCACGTATTCTGAAATATCTGAGTGCAAATAAAACTTAAAAATAAACTACTGGTTCAAATATACTATATGGCATTTAATTTCCCACAAGCTAATGATGGCACATAAGGCAAAGTCTGAGTTTTTGCAATGGAACCTTTGCAAACCTTTCTTCGAGCCAATTCCCATTATGAGTCACCACGTCCACTTAAATAATCAATATTCTTTCTTAAGAACTACTTTTTTATAACTTTTTTATAGCTTATACAATATTTAGAACATTTAAAATGTATCAGGACAATACTGTTAGGAAAATCAGAAAAACCATAATGTGAAATGGGAATATACAGACAACAAAACAACTGGGAGTACACAAGAAGTCTGGATAGGAAAAGCAGATCCAATTAAATAAGACTTCAAGGTAATTATTCTAATAACATCACTCTGAATTACCTCACTATCTTCCATAGCCACTTCTCCAGAAGGAGGCTTAAAAGAGGCAAGCATCTCTAACAAATCAAAAAGGGTGGTGAGATGAGGTTCTTGCAGGAGCAAAAGCATTGGAATGTTGTCCTTCTGAGGGGGAGGGAGGCAGGACGCCGGGAGCTGAACACCTTCACCTTTCCGTTCTCTCCTGGGGGCACCCAGGGATACAAACACCATCTGGGACACAGGGAAACAACAAGGAGCAAAGAGGCAATTTTAAGATAAGCCATGGAACGTTTTCTAAAGGATCATAATTAAAAACTTCAAGATAAATCGGTATCTCGTCGTCAAGTCTTTCCTTCGCGGCATTTTCAGCAGCTGCCATGATGAAATTTGAGTTTGCTTTCACTGGAGGCATTCAGGGGTAGCTGCACTCCCTGTTATCACCCCACAGATGGCTCACACCCAGCCCTATATATATTTACACAAAACCAGTATCCCAGTGACTGCAATCTCTGGACCAGCAGTACCTGCATGTCCTTAAACCCCAATTCATGAAGCGTTTTTTCATCGTAGTCAGTCGTCAGCTCGTGCCCAGATGAAATCATTCTCACAGGTCCCATGAGGCCACCTAGGAGAAAAGCTTATTTCAGTGACATTCTGGAATAAACCATTTTGGTATTTCTAACAGTACATCCTTCAGCAGCAAATGACAGGAGGCAAAACCTTAATGGAACTTCCTTAAGAAAACTACTTATTACATTAAACCAAATTTACTTGCACGTATTCAGAAATAACCTTTTCAGTAACGGGTCAGCCAATCTTGTGGTGAGAAGTGTTCACAAAACAGATTTAAACATGCCATATTTTGTAGTAAATTACACCGTGCCACAGAAGGGTAATGGAAAATCACTGTGATCATCAACAAACCCCCTCTGTACCACACACCTCTGATAAAGTCAAAGGCAAGGAAGCAATGATTATTCCTACTTAAAAGTCAGTTGGAACCAAAGATTTCATGCACCCAGAAAAGAAAAACTAAGAACATCCTTGAGAGAACTCCCAACACCGAACAAGAAATCTGAATAATGACATGAATAGGAATTTAATTTCATTTGGTGCAGACAATCCAGCCTCTGTTCTTACAAGCACTTTTCCCAGCACTACCACACGTTTCTAAAATGCCAGTGACAACAAAAATTAAAATCTCTGCTATGTGGTGATAGTTGGTGGAAAATAAAACAGTTTCTTCACTGAAACAGCTTCTCGTGAGTGGCTGGAAAAGGATTTTACAAAGAAGGTAATTAAGGTGTCCAAAATTCTGTCTGGTTTACTGCCAGTGTGCCTCATTAAAATATGTTTTTTAAAAGTTGTTAAACTATGACAAGGAAGTCTGATTCATGTTTACACTTCAAATAGCAGCAGTGTTGGAAAAAGATGTTCGTGGATAGTTTCTCTGGATAATTTGCATTACATGTAAACTACAGTGAGAAAGAAAGAAAACACTGAGGAGAAGACAATTCAAAGAACATTTTGAACAGCAATAACTGATAAGAATTATAATATCAATCAATATTATCAACGAGATTTATAAAATGCCCTCCTCCTAAAAGATAAAAAGCAGGAATTTTCACTCACTCACAGACACATTAAGAGGGAACAACAAGAAGATGCACATTCACTATACTAAGCAAGCAGTGAACCATCTGAGGAGTAAGGTGACATTCCAAATTAGGAGAGTCAAAGCAGGATGAATGATCAGTTTTCCTAAAGGATGACCATAAATTAAAAAGCAACTGCAGGTGTAAGGAAAATTCTACACCTGACTGGAATACATGTAGGTAGGGTATAAATTATTAATCTAAATTATGGCTTCATATTCTGAATTGATGGCAGAGCCAGAAGTGTAAATTGGATGAAATACAGACTCAGATATATAAAAATATAGAACTTTATCAAGTTCTGAGCTACAGAATCTCCAAATTACAGAAAATAATTTAATTAATTAAAACAACAAGGAGAAAAATAATGTGGGGGGAATCTATTGAAATGTAGAGCTTGGACAGGTTTAAAAGAGTTCTATGTTTTCTTTGCTATTTCAAATAAAAGGGAGTGCTTAAGAAACAACACTATTAAATAGAAGAGAGGGTGATGTTAACCAGAACTGCAGAGAAAAATAAATCCTAATTCTACCTTATTTAGGATATCTGGGGGAGAAAAAGACCACATTTAAGTTCTTGCAAGGGCAAAATCTCCGGGTAGGAGTCTCCAGCTTACCAGGGAATTCCCCTTTGCGGGAGCTCTGGCCGAATTCCTGGAGCTGAGCCTGCTGATTGATCTGCTCCTTCTGCAGGTTTTCATACCAATGGGTCACCTCAGCTCTCAGATCAGCCACCTGATCACTGGGATACATTTCTATTGTCATCTGGAAGAGAACATGTGGTTTATTTTTCCAAGTGCACAAGGGAATTCCCCAAGTTTCACAGGGCAGGCTGGAAAAAGGGTTTTTCCTCACCTTGTCGGGAAGCCCCGCTGGCTGACACACAATTCTCAGAGGGAGGGACTGTTTGTCACTCAGGGCTTTCAGGTGACTGCTGATCCCAGTGCCTTCAATCTGCCACTGCCTCAGGTGATATGCAAACCTTCAACAGGGAAAAACATGGAAGAAGTATTTTTGTCACACGTATTGAACACAATTGTTTGATAAACAATGAGAGGAGAGACGAAACTTGCAGGTTTGGGGTTTTTTTTCTTCAAAATAAGAGGAAGTTATTGACATTTTTGTTACTTTTCAAATAAAACTAAAATAACTTTAAACAAATTTCTTTGGTGAGGGACAGGGAAACATGAACCACAGCCACACATTTACACAAGACAGGGCCAACTCTGGTAACTGTTTGAACCTTCTATATTACACCTTTTACAATTATCTGCTATGTCTTTACACAAAGAAACTATTCTTTACATCAATAACAACTCATAACTCATTCATCATTATGGTAAGAGGAACAGAAATAAATTCTGCATCCAAATGTATCAACAGAGCTTTTTACCTCCTCCTAAAAGCCTCCAGGTGTGTCTTCAGCATTAAGAGCCCTCTTTCAATAATGGTCAGACTCGAATGAGGGTCTTGCTCCAGGTTACTCGAAGCAATCATCAGACTCTCCATACACTTGCTAATAAACTCCTGTTCCTTCTCCAGACCAGTTTTACCTAGGAGATCAATTTAAAGTAAACTGTAGACACAATTTTGGAACTACATATTTTAATACTGAGAATAAAAAGAAGATAAAGATAGATATTCTTTACAACATTTGAAACGGAAAACAGAAGTGAAAATGAGAATTCCTACCGTTGATATAATAAGAGTTGATGTACTGGATGGCTGCTCTGCTGACATCCCCTGACTGGGCCCTTAGAGCAATGCCCCAGAACTGGTCCATGCCACACAACTGCTTTGACAAAAGAAAACAGACACAGAAGCAAAACATTGCCTCATTATTTTACTGGGAGTGATGCTTTTCTCATCTGAGACATTTTATTTGCCTCTTGATTCATTTCTTAAGAATATCTCAGTTTTCCTCTTGATTTTTCCACATCAATTACTATAAAATCCTAAGTTTCACAGAAACATTTTCCAAGTTTGAAGCATGAAGAGAACTGGTTAAAATTCCAAACAGTGAATTTTCAGTTTTAAGAAACTGCAATACTTTTAAATGAAGCCTTAAAACCACAACTATAACTGGTGTTCACTGCAAGAAAAAAAATTGCCTCAAATCACTTCGAAGTATTTTGTATTTTATTTCTGAGACAGTTTCTCTGTATAAAAAGCTACAGCAGAAAAACTTGCAGATCACATCACACAAACTGAGACATAATTTACAACGGATTTCTAGTCAGAATTAAACATGACTAATGGAATGTCAGATCCAGTCTTACCTCAGAGTTTGAGCCCCCATCGTATGCACTGGTAGCCAACCGAGCCAAGTTACACAGATGCTGGAAGAGGTTGAGGCCAGTCATACTTATAGTTTCAGGCTTCAGTTGTGGCATCTGAAGAAAATGAAGGCACTTTAGTATGGAAAAGAAACTCAGTGATGGGAGGGGTATTTATTTCATTAGCACAGAAAAACACCGTTGTTATTACTAATCATACTGGAACACGGATCAATTAGAATTTATTCTTGTAGAAGATCACACTCTGAATTTTAGATAGAATGCAAAAAAATCAACCATAATTGGCTTAAACAAGCTCTTCACTGCTGATATGAACTGTAACCAGAGGAAAAATTATTTTAACATTAGCTGCTTAACTTATCAAAGCAGGATAATTTGTTAAAATACATGACGTGACTCATACATGTCCAAAACCAGAAAAAGCCTGTGTAACCTTGAAAAAGAACCAGACTACATTAATTATTGCACAATCCATCCATTTTGCAATGTCACCTCCTGAAAAGGATGGATGGGCCCCCCTTGCAAAAAGCTCTAGTGCTATATGTTTGTGTCCTCAGGGGATGGACTGGTGAGATTTAGAGGCCTCTCCCAAAAAGAGCGGCACAGAAACAATTTTAGATACACTAGTGTTGACATGGAATGAAACACTTTTACTGGAATTGTAAGGTGGCAATGAACTCCCAACATACCTTTTCCAAAAAAAGATGCTTGTAAGTCTCCATCCCCATGGCATGCTGGTCTTTACTCCGGACTTGGTTCAAGAACCAGTGTAGTGCATCGTCGTAACATTCCGAATCTTCCACCAAGCAGTGCCACAAAATGTCCACTTGTTCTAAACTCAACCCTGCAAGCAGGGAAGAATTTGTAACTACTCCTTTATCACATCAAAAACACAGAAAAATCAGAGCAGTTTTTATCAGGACAATGTGAGCTGGGATCTCGCACCAAGCCCCAGGTTGTGATGCAGTTCACATCCAGACCCCAACTCTCAGCTGGGTATTGGGACTGGGCTGAAAACAGCATTTCTGTAACTATTTCATTGCTTCTGCTTTCAAGAGAACAGTAGGTTTCTTTTCTTTGTGATCTGAACAAGCTACTTTAAAAAGAATTGTCACCCCACATTTGTTTTTGTTGATCAAACAGCCACAATTTCTTTTCTTTTGGCTACAGATATTCTTATTTTTTCCTGTACTTTAATGACCAGAGGGACAAGTCATGCAGTGGATGCACACTTTGGCTATCTACAGAATATCCCCAAAAAAATTCTCTTGTCAACTTCAACTGTCAAAGGTATAAACCAATTTCTGCCAGGATTAAAATATAAAGAATTATTCCTTTTTGGAATACTTTCAAGTCCAAGGAGGAGATCTCTGGGAACAGTATGGCCAGGAACCAAAGCCCATAAAAACACAATGTATTATCTTCATTTAGATATTACTAAATTCCTAATATTTAGAAAAAAATTAATATTTAGAAAAACTGAAGCACAAAGAACATGAAAATTTCTTCTCTCAGAACTGCGACAGAACCTGAATTCCAGTGTTGGTTCTGTGGTTTCATGAAAAAAAATCTTATTTCTTTTGAAACAGAGATTATTTTAAATTGCATGTTTAAAATAACACATAATTGATTATTAAGAACTATTTTTGCCTCACTATGAGGTGTTTCTGAGGTAAAGTAACCCCAAATACTCACGGAAGTGATCTGGTGATCCCAGAGTTGAAAACACACACGTCAGGAACTGGAGACGAACCTGAACCTCTGCGCTGTGGCTGTATCTAAATGGAAATTTGGATACAAATCGAAGTTTATTTAATGCTTTATTGCCATAACTTTTTCCCCCACTCATACATGTGCCTCTTAGAAACATAAATGTTTCTTATAAGTTTCCTTCTGAACTTCTAAAGTGCATCATTTTGTCACCTTGCAGGATCTACATTATTTTTCCCTAACTTGTAAAATGCAGATATTTCTACACTGAATTTCTGATTCCAGTTGACACATATCTTCATAAAAATATTTTCATAACTTTATTTCTATTTATATGGTCAAAGGAGCAGAACAATGTATAATTCTGCCGGAATTTAAAGCAATTCAAACCACTTTCCAACAGCTTTCTAAGTAATTCCTCACTAGAGCAATGTCTAATATAAAGGGGGATGATGAAGTCAAACTGGACCCATAAATAGCAACATTTTTCAAATGTGGATGCCCATATTGACTTTGACATCTGTCAAAGCAGGAACAGTCTATTCCTCTGGGATTAGGGAGCTACAAATTGTATTGTCTGTTTATATACACCTAATTTAAATCCCACAGATGAGAAAGTACAGGTGACTCTGTTAAACAGAAAATAATAATGCAAAGGTTAATAACAGGTAGAACACTAAAATACTCCAATAGTTCTATGACATGAAATCACTTTAAATTGATTTGAATATCTAAACCTTCATGTTTTATTTGTACCCAAGTGTGCAACACAATGTTTAACAAAAATGACATGAGAGTTACTGGGGTTTTTTTAAGGAAAAGGAATATCTACAATATTACTGTTTTTACAGATCTTTGTCTCCCTAAGCATGCAATGTCCCCATAAAAAGTATTTACTTATAAAAAGACATCAGAAGCAACAGAAGAAAGCAGAAATGTTTAAAAGCATAAAATATGAAACCCTCCAAGTCAGTTTGTACTTACAGTGCGTGTTTGTGCCGCCCTTCCCTCACTGCCTGAATGTAGTGTACCAAGTTATCAAAGAAAAGTTTCATCATATTCAGTTCCTTTTCTGCCCACCTGTGTCAATTTAAAGGGCAGAAAGAATTATGGTTTGCTTAAAAACGTCACAAGAGCCACAGAAAGCAGACAGCTATTATAGGAAAATGGCACACACATAAACCCAAAGTAAACATTTCGTTTTCCATCTACCACGAACTCAGGAGTGTTTCCAGTACAGTCCTCTCTTCTTCCCTGCAATCCCATAAGGTTTCCTAATGTTGGTATTTTCAGGCATAGGACTGACAGAACACTCCCTTTTGAGACTATGAAAACTGTTCTTAAAGGCCCTAATTGAGAAAAAGTCTAAGCCAAAACTCAGAACTGGGTGTGTATTTAAATGTCATGTAAAAAAGGCCAAGAAAAATTGCTGATAATCACTGTCATCTTTGCCAGAAGTTCCATCAGTCCATTCTCTACAGTTAGACCAGCCAGTTACAGCTTGTTCTAGTCAAGAATGCTGTACTATGTACCTTCAAATGTCAAAGGTTTTTCTTATAAACAAAATTTTTGATTCCTGAGAAGCATTTGAGACACACTCGGAACAGAATGATGGGACATCAAGTTATTACTACCTTTCACAACGTGTTACTGGTGGTTTTCTAGTACTTCCTGCAAGTCCTTTGGGATTTAAAGGTTGGGTTTCTTTTTTAAATATAAATCAGTCTCTAAATCAGTTACAACAGTAGTTGTACTATAAAGAAATAAGTTGCATTATGAAGAAATCTGGGCCTCAGTGATGAGAAAAACCAGGTCAGACAGCAGTGAGGTGATAACCTCAGCTCAGCAGTGTTTGGACCACACTGAAGGGACAAGTCTTGCAGTCCCCTAAATGCCACCACTACTTACATTGTGATCCAGTGGGTGTCGTAGCTGCTCCCAAATTGTTGAAAAGTACCAAAGAGCTTTGGAAGGAGACGAAGTGAAACTACTACTGATCTGAAGGAGAAAGAGAGAAATGATGACACTACATGACTGTTACACAAGTGAAATAATCAACTGAAAAATCAGTTTGAGAAGCTCAGGTTTGAGGACCAAACAGGCTGCCTGAAAGGACTGTAAACTATAGAATCATTGACTGGTTTGGGTTGGAAGGGAACTTAAGGATCAGCCAGTTCCAACTCCCTGCCATAGGCAGGGATGCTTTCCACTAGACCACATTGCTCCAAGCCCCATCCAACCTTAACTTGGACACTTCCAAGGATGGGGCAGCCAGAGGTTCTCTGGGCAACCTGTGCCAGGGCCTCGCCACCCTCAGAGTAAAGACTTTTTTCCTGCTATCTAATATCTCTTTCAGTTTGAAGCCATTCCCCCCGTCCTGTCACTCCAGGCCCTTGTAAATAGTCTCTCTCCATCATTCTTGCAGGATCCCTTCAGGTACTGGAAGGCCACAATCAGGTCACCCCAAAGCCTTTTCTTTTCCAAGTTCCCAATTCTCTCAGCCTTTCCTCCCAGCAGAGCTGCTCCATCCCTCTGATCCTCAGTGGCCTCCTCTGGACTCAATCCAACAGGGCCATCTCCTTCCTGTGCTTGTGGAATCTACCAAGTAGTTTCTTGAAACTGGGCTACACACACTTAAAGTTCTTCACATTGTAACACCTTGGACACACAGCTGAAATCAGGATCTCAGTGTGCTTGGAACTCATCACACAAACACAGTTCTCAGCAACAGGTAACAACATAACACTGCAGGTGATGCCCAGAAGGGAGAACAGACAAATGCAACAAGGTGAGAAACTCGGGGCACCCAGGGAATGGAAGAATGGAATATTAGAAACATCCATAACACACTTTGGGAACTATTTTTCTTCTGCTGCTTTTGTCTTCCTGTAAAGTGAAATAACCATTAGAGCCAAGTTGAATTTCTGATCTGTCACAAAAATAGGTACATGTAAAAGCAGATCATTTATGACTGAAGTTACCTGTTGTTTGCTAAATTTTCTAAGCAGCCTTCAATGAACCTCATTCGAATCTGTCTGTCAGTGAACCAGCACACTAAGGAACAGAGCAGCTTCTCTGCTTCATTTATTAACCCTTCAGAGAGATGAATCTACAGCGAGGAGAAAGAAAGGCCAATGAATACCACAGATTTATTTTCTTTTAAAAAAATGGGATTTTCTGGTATTGAACTTACTGCATCTTCATCCTGGACCAGATCCCATAAAAGGGTATTTCCTTTCTTACAAACATTATCCAGATTAATGTCAGTCACTGCATTGCTGTTATATTGATGTTTATGAACTGCTGGTCCTGCACAAAATAAAAAGAACATTACTGAAGGAACCATCTAAACTGAATATTATTCCCTCAGTGCCCATACAAACAACACACTTTATTTGTTAACTTGGCTATTTCAAAGTGCAGCAACGTTGTAATTGCAGCTTTTTCTCACATATGGGTTCTTAAAAGGCCATACAAGAAGCCAACAGGGCAGTTAGGCCAGTATTTACACTGCTTTTGGCTAATGGCAAAGTGCAATAAAACCAGCACTGAAGAACTGCGAATACAATTGCTTTTTAATTTAATTCCTACTGTAATTCAATTATTTTTTTAAGACCTTCTGTAGTGCTGTGGTCCAAAGGGAGTGATCTGCACCACCATCATGGTTGGAAAGCAAGAAATGAGTTCATTTCAATCAATTCCCCTCATACTACATGATTTCCTCTATCTGAAAAACCTCCTCCTAAAAACCAGGCAAAACAAACATCTTTTTCATATATGATGGATATCAAAGGAAAAATCAACCCCATTTTCATACATGGTGGATATCAAAGTGTAGGATTTTAGAAACTCATCAAGTTTTCATAAACACTGACAGATTTTTCACAGCTGGGCACCATTCACTTCTCTACTATTTGATACTATTTTCAGGTAGCAAAGTCAAGTAGAAAATTTAGACTGTGCAGAGCACTGTGATTGTTTGCACGTGCAAAACAGGGGTGTCAAAAATAATCTGCACTGAAGGTCTGATGCTCAAACATAAGATGTATGAGCATCAGCAAGATTAGTAATATCTGTGCAAAAAAATTGAAAAAATACACTGATTTACAGATTTACAAAGTTTTAGTAGTTTATTCAACTCTGCAGTGGAGAAAAACATCCAGAGTTTTAATGTCAGGCTGAAATTATCATTATAAGAGATCTCTTACTCAACTGTTTCAGGAAAATAAATAAATAGTATTGAGTTTACTGTCTGCTGGACAACAGCAAACTTGGTCCTACCAGGCTGGTGAAGAAAAACATCAAACCTTCACCATTATGTTTAAAAAGAGGATAAAGAGAAAATAAAGCATATGGAAAAATGATATAATTCTCGAGAAGTGTTTCAGCAGCAGTTTAAATTGCACCCAGAAGTAAACTAGAAGATTTGGCAGTGTAGGATGAAATAGCATAAAAAGCCCTTTACAGCAAACTCCTGAAGATATCAAGTTATATTTTAACTCCTTTTCCCAGAATTATCTTCTCTAGAGCCTATTATGGTTAATTCATTTATGGGTTAATTTATGATGACAAATGTACTGAGCCACAGTAAAATCCACCAACCAGAACAACAAGTGAGGAGAGAAAAATGAAATAAAATCTTGCATTTCAGCACCCCCTTTCTTTATACTTTAATAACTTATTAAAAGAAACATTTACTAGGTTCTTAGCTGTTTTAACATCAGAAGCTGCAGTAGAAATTGGGGAGGGGAGATTTTAAAAGATAAACACAGCTAAAACATAGCTAAATATACAAAAATTAATCTCTTGGAGATTAAGTTCTCAGCAGTCATCACGGTTTCGTTGGACAAATACAGACAAATGGTTAAAATAATTTGATTATTTTAATTATAGGAGACTAATTCAAAGTTATAAAACAATGTTTTTTGGTTTTCCTTCGATGACTCTTACCTTGACTAAGATGTTCATGATAGATGGAGGCCAGGTTAGGGAGGTGCTGCTGAAGATGAGACGTGAGCTCAGCGTGTGAATTAATCTGTACAAGCTCTTCCTCACAGCCAGACTCTTCCCCATCAAAATCTGCCATATTTTTCTCGGATTTTGCACTGACTTGAGAGCTACTACAGCTGACATCATCTGCACTGAGCATATCATCAACCATATGCCTGGAAAAGAAGGATATCAAAAGGGACAATATCAAGGAGGAAGTTGTTTATAGCAAACTACGAGTGAGGAGACATCTCCCTCAAGCTAAAGTCACAATGAATCATCTGTTTGAACAGCAGACCTTCACAGAAAAATTCAGAAAAAACATTAAAGACAAGTTGAAGGCCTCATTAGCCTGATTGTTTTAATATTAACTAAATACAGCATATATAACAATTTTAACATTTTTAAAGTGTTGTCTTATTTATTCCATACCAAAACTTCACTGAAAGCTTTCATCAGATGTGACCAAGTCAGATTACTGTGTAACTCTCTGCAGTAAGTAAGACAGAATTACCCTGAGCTGCAGCAAAATGCCCATTCAAAATTTCTGCCCAGATGGGATATTTTGCTACCACTTCAATTTCTGGAGTTCAGTTTAATGTAAGGAAGCAGAAGGAATGCC